TTTTGAAACTGCATACGCCATGCTTATGTAAAGTCAAATTTTCAGTCTACTAGTGACATAACAGGGATCCAAGAAAACTTCAGGACTGAATTTTTCCTTTCCAAAAGGGAACAATTTTAAACTGCTAAGTGCTACTGCCTAAATGTATTTCCTGCTTTCCACAAAAATAAATCATCCTCTGAGTGTGAACTCTAGACTTAGCGATGAAATGTGCTACTCAGACAGAACATGGGGAATTACAGTGGCTGCAAGTTTCAATGTGAGGTTAAATGTTGAGTCACTGGCAATGCCTTCAGAATAGATTGTAGTACATTACTACTTCTGTTATATTATGAGGTCGCACACTGATAGGTGGACTGGATTGAGACACTGCATTGTGCACCAACAGCCATACTGATGGGAAATGATTGCTGGCACTGATCATGTCAAAACAGGTGTCCAAGAAATTGCATCCCTTATTTCACACATTTCTGGCACTAACTCTCTAACAAATGTGAATGCAGTATTGTTTCCCTGGACAAAGTATGAAGGTTTTTCTTAGGTTGGTTATACTATACAGAACCTGTAGAAGGTTCACGTATACTGACTGAGCTACCAGACAGTGACATGTGTTTGTTCTCTACATGCCAGGAAGGAGAGCTTACTTCTGCCAGCATGGCGTTGCCATGAATATATCAGCAGTCATTGATAGTTTGACCTTTTCTGTGTTTTTCTGCTGCGATGCATTCTCAGAAAGAGCAGAAAATTTAGTTTACTGAGGATTATTTATTGTGTTGCACTCCATGAGGATAAGCAAAGATAAATGAAGCCATGTGTTTATTCCCCCACTCTGAGAATACATTGAATCTCGGGAAAGGCTTCATAGGTATTTGGCATAGTGAGAATTCCTCTTGCCCTCTAAAAATTAGGGTTTTTTATCTTCCTTCCAATTCAGGACTCCTTAGGTCTCCTACGGTGAAGAGATATCTCAAGAGATGAGTTGCCATAAGCCAGCCCACGTCGTGAGACTCTGGAGATGTCATATATGAGACCTGGTGCCTCAAACTAGGACACTAGTAAGAACAGTGGGGTGTGGAGGGAAGGAGAGGAAAGCAGTGGGGAAGAGCTGTGTTCTGAGGCCACTGGCTGCCCACTCTCACAGCCGGTACTCATCCCTTGTGTGTCTGTATGGACTGTGGAAAGCTGCAGTGGAAGAGACTGTAAGAGCTGTGGAGACACGAGGGTGACCTGATGCGAGTGCTGTACTGCTTTGGCTCAGTTTTCCATGTGACATCTCTAAGATAGGGCTGGGATCGAGACAAAGTCTGTGCTAAAATTCTAGAAATTTGAAACAAGATTTTTCTTGGGTATAGTTCTTCATGCAGGGTTGGAAAAACAGCTATTACTTGCCTCATCTGTTGTTAAAAGAGAGGAAGCTTTTAACAGTGAGAGATGACAGGTAAGGTCAAGGTTCTATAAAAAAAAAAAAAACAAAACAAAACAAAACAAAATAAAGCTTCAGCTGTGATGGAATATAGCACAAATTTGGGGATATTAGGACCAGCTCTTGGGAAAAGCTTGAGAAAGTCGTTACTTACGATAAATGAATAAATGATAGATGAACTTCGGTATCTCCTCTGAAAGGCCACATCCCACATCTAGATGATCTAAATAGCCGCAGTGAAAACTGATAAGGCATGAGCTGCACCCCTCTATTGCTTACCTTCATATGTAATTAATATAAAACTAAATGTATTGTGTTTATATAGAGATATATTTATACGTGATTGGACACTAGTACAGTATCTGGGTATGCTTTTATCCAGTCTGTCACCAGCTCAATTGTTCATCCAGCAACAGATCTTGACTTTAACAGGAAAACAAAACAATGGAAAAGAAAAGAATCCTTTGTCCCTGGTATTGAATCTTTAACCAAGTAGTTGCTATAGCAATAACATTTCTCAAAATACCAAATTTAAAGTAACAGCTCCCGAGAGATAACTCAGCGATTGTGAGACATCGTATTTTTTTTTCCTCCAATTTTTGTCATGCTCCATTTAAAGAAACTGGGAGTCTGTACTCCTGTCACCAAAATACTCAAAGTTAATTTTGAAAAAGAAACTAAAAAGGGATTGACCTATTTTCCTACTTTTTTTTTTTCCCCAGGTGTTTCACACCTCCCACTGTTTTACCATTCTCATTCCACATTAGTGATGTGATTAGTGTATATGTGTGCACTCTGATGCTCAGTGAGAGATGCTATGGGACACATGTTGTAGCTCTGCTGTACACAGGCTGAATAGAGGCTGTAGGTGATACACTCTGCTTGACAGTGCCTCTGGGTTGGCACAGATGAGGATCTGACTGCGTCTTGGGCAGTGTCTTTGAAATTAATCTGGATCAGGCTTTTTATATGTAATTTGATATAGCCTTTTCTTTACTGTTTTCTGTTTGGGTTTTTTTGTTGTTATTTTGTTAGGGTTTTTTGTTTTGTTTTGTTTTGCTTTCCAAATCCCTCGTCTGGAATACACCTCAGGTCATATTACAAGATTTAGGTGAAATAGCTTGATTGTTTTTAATTTTTGGCTGAGCAGCCAAAAACTCCCTGTGTCAGCTTTAAGCTAGCAATTTAGCAGTAACGCAGCCATTGTGGCGAAGCAACAAAAGAAAAACCTTGACGATATGCACAAGGTTGTTTTGCTCTCTTTCCCCTTACCAGCGCCAGAGCATCACTTACCCGAGGCCGCCGTGGGCCAGCGCTGTCGGGGACCCCGCAGGTGGGGCAGAGCCCCGGCCCCTGCAGGGCTCTGGGACCAGGAGGAGCTGCCCCGTCCCCCCGAAGGAAAGCCCCCGCAGCTGGCATCACCGGCCGGCAGGTGCAGCAGCTGCCCCTGGCTCCAGCTCAGCTCAGAGCCGTGCACGCTTTGCTTTCCTTCCCCGCAGCTTCTTCTGCTCAAGCGGGTCTGCCGCTGTGGTCGCGCTGGTCCCAAGCACCCTCATACTCCCACCCGTGTTCTCTCCCTATGCTGTCTGGAGGTGGGGAGCAAATGTGCAGTTGGTTCCTTTACCACCTTAGAAAATAGAGAACTGGGCTGATGATGACACTAATGAAACTGAGAAGTAATACAGAAAGTGGCACATGTCTAGCCTATGGCCCAATACTCCCTTCTTTACTGGCATTAAATTAAGAGTGACATTGCTGAAGATCGTCACTAGACTAATCAGAATTATTTTAATAGTGTCATTATCTGTGAAAGAAAACAGGAAGCGGAATATTAATCTTATAACTCAAATTCACACTTCCTTTCATGTTTCTCAGCAGCTCTGAAGTTAAACATGGTAGAGACTCAAAAAAAAGAAAAAAAAAAGGGTAGGCAAGAGTCTCTGTCAGCCTACCCCAATGTGAGTCAGGACTGACCCCGTTGACATTAACAAAGCAAAGCTGATGTGTAGCTACATCAGAAAAGAATAACGATCTGCAACATGAATGTGGTGATGCAGGTTGTGGCAAAGATTCTAGGAAAACCAGATTAAATGAATTCTGTCATTCCACCAGCTGGGTCACCACAGTTCACTGAAAAGTTCCCAATTTACGAAGCTGAGCTGTGTCTTTGCTGGACTTCTGGCAGATGGATTCTGCTTTAAGTGAATTGTTGACATATAAATTCACCTCTGCTGTTATTGTGCTGACAACAATATCATTTGGCACTGACATTTCATACCCTGTGGATATTAACTAAATTACCATCACAGCCCTTTTAATTATCCATTCTTATTGTATAGATCAGCAAGTGAGATAGGAACTACAGTGACTCACTGAGGCCATACATTAATGTTTTTAGGCACTGTCAATGAGGAAAATGGAATTTGAATGCATGCATTTCTTCTGCCAATAAGTAGCATTTGGATTTTATAAACTCTTTTCTGTAAGGAACGCCCTTGCTTCAGGAAGAGTTCTTGTGAGTTTGCACTTGTTTTTTGCCTGCAAAGCCATCAGGAATTTTAAGTGGAATATTCAATAACAGTAATACACAGCATGGACTGGAGCCTGGATGAAGACTTTTACTTTTCACTATACCATTTCTGCATAGTGAAAAGTACCTCTCCTGTAACACTGCAATTTTAAAAAGAACATAGATGTTCACTTTCATAGGGTAAATGTGGTCCAGCTGGGACAAAGAAATTTGGAGAGAGAATGAAAAAAGTGTAAATCTTTAGCTATATAAGAATAATAAGCTGAATACACAAATGGTTGAAGTACAGGATATTGTAGTCTCTGCATCTAAAAAGTTTCCTCATTTCTCCAGAAGGTTGTGATTTGGACACGTAGACTGAGAACTTCAGAACAATCTAAGGGATTAGGTACCTACATTTTATTATCATGAAGTGATAGGACCCTGAATTTATCTGAGCTCTTCTGTGAAGCCCAGCCTATAGGCCAGCTGCTGTCACTTATTTCCTCCACCTTTAAGTGGATCTTTGGCATAGCAGGGAGGTACTATAGGCAATGATATTATGAAAATCATCCACACATACCAATGTAAACTGGTCCAAGCTATGGCTTTCATGAGCATTGGTAGAATACTAAAATGTATAAAATCTCAAGGCCAAATTTTTTGGAAATTAAGCTCTTTGCATGAGGTCAGGGCCCTATGTTTACCACCAGTCTGCAGCCTCTTCTCCTGCCCCCTTGGCGTTTGGCTGCCTGTGCAGAAGCCAGTGCTGACACGGTGCGGCCATGCCCAGCCTCGTACCTTGCTGGTCCCGACCTTGCCTTCCTGACTCGGCTTCCCAGCTTGACCTCACACCTGCCTCGTCCGTACACGTTTGTCTGGTGATCACAAAGCTGTTGGCCAGTGCTGGTTCCCATCACCAGACCTGCTCCGTGCGCCTTGCTGGGGTGCTGTGCAGTGAGGATGTTGCCCAGCCTGCCGGGCTGTCACCCTCAGCTCCTGGCCCCTGCCCCTTGCAGAGCAGGCAGCTCTCATTACCCCCTGATACAGAAGTTAAATTTAACTCTGTTTTGTTGCTTAGTTTTCATTATTATTTATTTGAAATAAATTAAAAGCCCAAATAGAATTACTTTCCCAACCTTTCTGGCATGTGAAAGGTCTAGAAATGAACCACCAAGTTATTTTTTCCATGAAGTTACAGTGAAGCTCAGTTCCGCTTTTATTCCAGTGCTGTGAAATTTCACATTCTGTTGCAAAATACATAGGTCAGCACAGGAACAATCTGTGGTGAAATAACTTGTACTACTGCTCACATACTTTTTCCTTCATAACATATAAGAAGGTATTACAGAAAAAAATTCTCATCAAAACAAAACAAATTCCAGCAAATCAAAACAAAGAAGGGAAGGAACATACTTTTTTAGAAAGGAAGGCAGCAGCCAGAATAGTGACATATACAGTTCATAGGATCACAAGACAATTCGGGTTGGAAGAGACCTCAGGAATTCTCTAGTCCAACCTTCTGCTCAAAGGGAGGTCAGCTATGAGGCCAGCCCAGGTTGTTCAGGGCTTTGTCCAGTTGGGTCTTGAAAACCTGTCAGGATAGAGCATGCAGAACATCTTGGTGCAACTTGCACCACTGCTTGGCAGTCCTCATTGCTCAAAAGTTGTGCTCAAGTTATGCACATAATTTCTTGTCCTGCTGTGTGCTCTTGTGAAGAGCTTGGCTCCATCTTCTCAATACCCTCCTTGCAGGTATTGCAAGGCTGCCATTAGGTCCCCCAGAGTCTTCTCGTCTCCAGGCTGAACAAGCCCAGCCTCCTGATCCTCTCAAGTTCCCCTCTCAGAATGTGAAATTAATTGTAAGTATAAATAGACACAAACAGTAACTCATGAAAACAACAGAAGTGGCTCATTGTAATGGAGAAATTTGTAATTTACACACAGAGGGATCTACTCATAAGAATTACCTTACTGCTTGTGACCACTGTATGTTCATCCTCCAAGTATAATGTCAGGTCTAGAAATGTGCTGAAAAAGTGATGGTCAAAATTTTTCCACTACATAGACTTGTTAGAGGGGCATTTTTTGATGAAAAGAAAAATTTTTTCCCTATGAAACTGGACAACCACCATAACTAAACATTCTTTCTGGCAACTGAACAGAAGTGAAAAGTCTGTGGGAGGAGAAAAAACAGACTTTCCATGGTGCTCTAACTCTTTTCAGTGTGTTGAGTGCCCACCAATACCAGGGAACCATGCAGCTGTTGCAGGTGCCTGTGCAGGAACATGTCCTTGAATTAACAGCTGTACTTTTGATTTGCGCTAACTTCAACCCTTTTAAAATGTGAGTTCTTTTGCTACCATTCTTATTGTTTGTTCTTTGCTGGTTTGTCAGTATTGCTTGTTGGTTTGTTGTTTGATTTTTTTTTTTTAGAACTGGCAGACTGAGCGCCCTGGAACCTGTAGCTGAGGCCTACAGGTGCAGTTAAGTAAAAGGATATAAACCTTCTTGCTCTGCTGACTCTGCAATGTAACCGCACTCTGTGTTTCAGTCATAATAAGCAAGTCTAAAAGCTGGTCCTTTATGCTGTGGAGATGTGAAACCTCACCTTCCAATCCTTCTCTTTCCTCCCTACATATATCAGGAAAAACTTTCATCTGAGTTAAACCACTGGGGGCTAGAATTTGGTTCTTTATAGGCACTTGAAATAATGAATCTTCAACTATCTGAAACCCAATATTGATATTGTAATGAAACTACATGACATATGGTTTTACATTAGATCATATATTTTCCAAATAAAATAAAAGCTGAAAAGCTTAAGAGCGGGTAAGTACCTGAACACATGAAGTAAACAATTTTAAGAAGTGGTTAATCTCAGGGGTATGCTGAAGGAGAAACTGATATATTTCTGAAACACGGGAATCATCATAGCAGCATAAATTACACAATGAAATTAGAGAGAAGATTTACAACCTTTCCTGTGTCTGCTCCTTTGTCGATCATTTGAATGATCTCCATGTGTGTGCATGATTTATTCACTTCTATCACAGTACTGTTTAAAAAAAAAAAAATCCCTTTTGAGGCTTCTTCCCAGCTAAGCTTTAGGTTTCTACTAAAACTGGAAAACAAATGACTAGGTTAAGAGGACTTCAGCCTTCCTCCAGCTGAGTATGTGTATGCCCAGCATGTGGGCTAGCTAGCAAGCTGTGACAGGAGGCAGTTCTGTGGGGATCCTCAGTAATTTTGTCAGCATGTCATGGTCATCCTTCTTGGCTGTGTGTGTGTTTGTTGACAGTGATTTATGTACCATGCCTGATTTAAAGATATATGTCGATGCTCCATTGATTTCACTGACCCTGTAATAAGTTCTTACTAAATCCAGCTACTGTTTTCACTTTAGGTTAGTATCTGTGACTTTTGGGGTACTTCCTAGATACAGACTGGGGAAGAAATTTTCTTTCTTTCCTCTTTTTATTATGCAATTTTGCTTTGAATGTGTTTGCTCAGGCATTTTTGACAGTCTCTGTTTCGCACTAAGTTCTGTAGGTGATCAGAGCACTGCTCTTTGTAGCAGAACTGCACAGAGCATGGTCTTTCACTTGGTCTCCCTCATGCTTTCGTAGGCAGAAGCAACATCTGAATAAATTCAGTATGTCTGTTCGTGCAGTTTCACTCACAAAGCAGTAAAGAATGGGATCAGCAATGCAATTCAAACTTGTTAAGGCCTGAGTGATTCTGTAAACCTTATACAGCAACTGCAAAATCTGTAGGTCACTGGTGTAAGGTTCTTTGATGCTGCGAATAAGCAATATAATGTGATAAGGACTGAAGCAAACAATGAAAGTAACTGTGATATTCAGAATAAGTTTCCTCACTTTTTTCTTTTCTTCATCTACTGTGGCTTGATTACACCTTACTACTTGGTAGATTTTATGGTAGCAAAACACAATGACTATCAAAGGGACCAGGTACCCTGAGCATATCCGGAATAAATTTATCCATGCCTGCCACCATTCCAGAGGGTAATTATCGTAGCATAACGTATGATTAGTGAAATTGCAAGGATCATTGAATACTTCTTTGTTCATCAATATGACTGAATTTGAGATGCTTTCCAGAAGCCAAACAATTATGCTCACAATTAATGAAAACCTTCTTGTGCGCAAGTGCTGGAGCTTCAAGGGGTGAACTAGTGCCAGGTACCTGTCAACAGAGATGCAAGCTAGGAACGCAGTGCTGGTGTAGTAATTCATATACATAAGGAAGGCAGAAATCTGACAAAGCAAGGCAGAGAACCTCCAATTATCTCCATTCCAGGCATAATCAATCCACAGAGGCAGAATGAGAGAGTACAAAAGGTCAGCCAGGGACAGGCTGAAGGTGTAGACTGCTAACTCATTCTTTTTCCTCACCTGGATGCAAGATGCATAGAGGGATATGCAATTGATGGGAATACTGATCATCATCACAATGCTGTACACAGATGGAAACAAATACTTATCCAGGGTGTGATCATCATGGCACTTAGCAGTGTTGTTCATTGTCTACCCCGAGTAGTATCTCTGGGCTAATTCCAACGTGGATGCAATAAAACCCCCTCTGTAGCCTGATGGGTGGTCATCTGTTAGTTCTTCAGGACCTGGTTGGTAAGATTCCAGCCTTCTGTTACCAAAAAGGAAAAATGCCAGCTATAACAACTTTTTTTTTTTTTTTTTTTTTTTTTTAAATGGACTTCTTGGTGGGTGTATTTTTTTAGAAGAAAGAAACTGTGTTTGTAGGAGATCAAAGGTTTTAAACACTTCTGGAGTTAGGAGTGCATAGAAAGAAGAACCCAAATGTCTGAGACGGTCAAGGTCCATTAGATGCAAGCTTCTACAGCAGAAGCAGGATGAGTAGTTAAGACACTTCCAGCGTGTTAGGATCCTGCAATCCCAGGTATCTCTTGTGGGAGAGTCAAAGGAGATCAGAAAGTGCACCACAAAGAACAGAAGTGCACTTTCTATTATTCCTGTGAGCAGAATAGGGTTTCAGCCATATGAATATGGCAAATTTCTTATCCCAAATAACCTCCTCCCCTCTAAGTCAATGGAGAGACAAGGATAGAAAGGCAGGGATTCAGGTACCACTGGATGTTGAAATCTGCTCAGAAGAGGAGAATGAGTGGCTGGTATGTCTCCCTATTATGAATATACATCTCTTGTCTTGTTGCATCCCCACACTTCCCCGCTTCCCCTCCCCTCCTTCCTATGTGATCCCTCCAAGAACTTACCCTCAACTGTGCTATTCAATCAAAGCTTACTGCATGTCCCAGGAACCCTCATGTGAAACCTCGCAGGCTATTGGGATCCTGCATGCACAGGAGAATCTGCCAGGGTGTCACTTAGGGTGCCACATGTAAGGTGGAGACTGAGTAAAATTTTTCATTTACATGTCTTTCCTCTAGGAATTGCAGTTGCCATGCATGAGTTTATAAAACCATTAGCAGTTAATCTTATCTTAGGCACTACTATGGCTGTGGGTGTCAACAGCTTCAACATGGAAATACCCGTAAAACTGCAGCCCTGATTAAAGCAGTGGGACTGAAGTAGTTGTGTGCGTGAGCCTTAGAAGCACTTAGAAGAGCTGACCTTTAGGTAAGAAAGGGTGTACACCAACAGCAATGAGACACCTGGAACTCACTAATTATATCGCAGCTCTGACACTCAATAATTCTCTTTTCCAAAGATCTAATTGTTAGGTTCAGGAAATACGAGAATGGGAAATATTTGCTGTGGTCCAGTTCTACTGTCAAATATACCAATTGCCTCAGAGACTGCCTGTGATAACTCATCTGTGGTTTGAGCCTAGACTGTCAGCAGATAAGGTGAAGAAGTTGTAAAATGAGTAGGTTACAAGATAGCACCATCTAAAACTGTCTGAGCAAACAGCTCAAACTGAGGACAACTTGGGTGCCGGAATTTTCCCATGTGCTAGGCAAATGAATTTTGCCTCTTATGGGTTTGATGCATATGTGTGTGGAGGTTTGCAGGTTTACCAGAGAAACCCAAGTAGGTTTATTGCCTCTGTTGGGAGGTTATTATATGGATATCTTTTCCATAAAAAGAACTCAAAACTTTCATGCATATTCAGTAAGAAAAGGAACAATGACAAAACTAGTCAGAAAGCACATATTTAATTTTACCAGCCACTGTTTTATTTGATCAAGTTGGCTAACTTTTCACAGTTAGAGCTAAATTCATTCACAGGCTTGAAAGACAAGCAAAATTATTGGGAAGGACTTCCCAATTTGGTCCACTGAGCAGCTTTACTTACATGATGACTGATTAAAAAAAATGCAGTGTCTATATTTAAGACAAACATAAAAGATCTGCTTTTCAGTACGGTTTAATAAAACCACACAGTAAATAGGGCATTTTAAGCTTACCAATATAGATAACTATCATGAATTAAAAATCTAGCTCTAGAAATTGGATTCCAGGGTTTTGCTGACCCATTTCTCACCAAAAGAAAAGCAAGCATATGCAGACTGACCAGATGAGTAAAAGATAAAATACCTACCTCTTGTTCCAATCATATTTTAGCATCTTTTTTTCCTATGACAGGTCTCTTCATGTCTAACAGGGAAATGTGCCCTTTCAGAAGCACATGTGTAATGCAGCAGGTGTATGAGGTAGTGTTTACTAGCCACGTGACTGAGCAACTGGAATTCCTTCTCCCTCCCCCACAAACTCTTTCTTCTTTGTTAGTTGACTTGTTATATTACAGACTCATCATCTTTACATGCTCCTGACTTGTCCGTTACTCACAACAGCTCCTCTCACAGTTTACTCCTCCATATTTACTCACAGACCAACATGCCAATTTCTTCATACCACCTTCTTTTCTTCCGTTTTCTCTTTTTAGCTCACAGTTTCTAAAAGTTTTGCTCTGTTGATCTTACTGATCAAAAGGTAAAACGCTTGTCCTTATATTGTACTTGTCTGAATAAACCACATGTTCTCTGGGGTAGACCTTGTTTTGCTATTCTGCTATCTGTGTTAAGGAACTAGAATCTTAAGGTATAACTGGCTAATGGCAGGCTGGGACACTGAAGATTCGATTCAAAAAAGAGAGTTGAGACCACATGAAATTTGCCACCTCAGCAATTTTTTCTGTCTTTCATGTTCACAGGACACTGTACCCCGGGGTTTTATTTTTAACCAGTACCATCAATACTTTATATGATCAAAGCCCCGGAGGCTGTCTAAAATTCCCCAGGTAATCCATGTCCATGCTTTGATAACACATTGATGCTACTTATATGGGGACACGCTTTCAATGAGAATAATAACAAGCAGTGTGTCATTCTGGCACGTACTGATGACCTGTACTGAAGTGTGTCAAAGAGCCAGCAAATGAAGTATACCACAATGCACGCTGCAGTTTCTTGCACAGAAATGTAAAAGCAGAAAGCACTGTTTTGCCCTGATTACAACATACTTCATTAGTTACTTGGGGCCTTATCTCAGGGGAAATGGCCCCTATTATACTTCCTTGCTTAGATTTTTTCTGATAATTAGGACTACACATAATGCAAAATGATTTGTCTTACCTGAATGCATGATGTGAAGCATTCCCAGGTTTTCTCTCAGCTATTGAGTGTACCTGCTGGTTTTGCCCAGGAGGATGGTATTGACTTACAGCTATCCTAAAACACAATGTTTGATAATTTTTCTCACTGATTGTTAATTCTTTCTAAAGGAATTTCCATTTAACAATATAGTCTAATGGTTTGACTTTCATGGTCCAAACCCACTGTGAGTAATTCTGTAGACATGGGATTTATTTTACAGACTTGTTTTGGTATCAGATGTGTTTCAAATGAAAAAAAACTGTTCTCAAAGGTAATTTTTTTCTTTTAGCCACATTATCCAATGATTATTATTGTTCCCATCTCTGTCATTTTGCTACAGAAAACCTGCTGTACAAGAACTCTGAAAAAAGTCAGTCAGACATAAAATTTAGAGAAACGGACTAGCAAATGCTATACTTCAGGTAATGTATGCATACAAGCCTGTAAAAGAACCTTGTGAAAGTTTCTGGAGAAAAGTGCTCATTACATATTGTATTTATATTGATGCATTCCTTTTTCAGATTCAAAGAGATCTTTATGCGGCCTCTCCATTTATGACATTTTGAAAGTAACAAAGCAAGTATAAATTTATACTTTCACAAGCACAAATACAAAATGATATTCCATACTCTTTTCAATAAACAATCTTCCAAGGGAAGAATGGAAGAGTCTTTTTTATTTTTCAGATAAATTAATTCTAACATAGTTTGGGAAATTGCAAAAGATGAAGAAAACTGAAAGGATTTGGTGTTATTAACAGAAAAGTTTAGTCATTAATTAAAAAAAGATAATCTTCCATTAGGTAATAAACACCAGTTTAACTGTGGAAATAATTGCACTGATATATTTCACCCTTTATTTCAAATTCAAGTTCATAAAAGGGCAAGTTACTGTAAGCAATATTCATTATAATGTGGTATATTTTTGCAAGTACTTTGATTTTTACATAAGTTTTAGTGGAAGAAAACAATGTTACATGCATTAGTGCAGCAGCTGCTTTAATGATGCTATTGTATATCAGCCATAAGATGGAAGGTCAGATGGTTTTCTTGATTTCTTTTTTCTCTAAAAGCAATTTCAGCAGATTGCTTTGTGTTCTCAAAATAAGTTACAGTACCAAGCTGATTTCTTCAAGTACAAGGACCTGACATAGCTGGATCTTTTTTCCCAATGAGCAGATCTCAAAACTTAATTCTGAAAAACTTCACAGTTTAGAAGAGTTGAAATATGCCTTTCAGTAACATGGACATTTTTGCTTAAAGTGAACAGCATTTTTACTCACGCAAAATTAAATTTCACTCACAGGTCTCCATGAGACTCTGTAGAAGCTCAAACAGGCCTACAAGAGCTCACTCTTTTTAACTTTGAGATACACTTTATGGACTGTTTTATAAAGCATAAAAATTCTGTTAACATTAACAAACAGAAAAAAAAAGCTATGATTTTTAGGATGTAGACTGTGCAGGTGAGTATTATTTTGCTATATCTTTATGTGCATCATGTTTTCTTCTATGTATGCAGAAAGATGGCTGTACAAAATATTTTCATGTACAAGACACTTGGTATTTGAAGAAGCTACTTTTAGCACAGCTTCTTTTTCTGCTAAAGTTTTAAGCATTGTGTATATTCATATAAATAGCGCTGAGTATCTTGTTAGTGCCATAAAATATTAACGAACAATAACAGAAGAGCTATTGGAACCCCCTGTGAGGCCTGAGGCTTTTTTTTGCAGTGAAGACAAGACAGCTCAGAATCATGAAAAATCACCCCCAAACACTGTTCTTCTCCATCCTCCCTTCTCCTAAACAACAGGTATTCTGATCACGGCAATACCATTACGACAATAAATCAAGCTGGCATGTCTTTCCTCACTCAGACTTTTGATGTCATTCACCCTTTTATCTCATGCTTGTCTCATGTTTATCACTTGTGCTGGGAGTGAAACGCTCCTTCTCCCAGAGCAATCTTTCCCAGACGCTTCTGAGTCCCTTCTTCTTGTCAACATCACATTAAGGGAGAGCCAGGTTGAAATCTGTACCAGAACTTAAGTTGTGTATCTGCCTTCTTGGATTTTGAACACTTACCTAGGCAGCCATGTGTCCCCGCGTAGCAGTTTTACTGCAATGCCATCAGTAGGCCACGTGTCCCTGCACAGCAGTTTCACTGCGATGCCATCGGTAGCGTAACCCGTGTCTGCTTCTGAGAAGAAAAACTGTTTCATCAGATAAAGCAACAGGAAGCTGCTCTTTGATACACCAATGAGGCAACAGCTCACAAGTCTCTCTTTTTTTCTTTTTCCTTTTTTTTTTTTTTTTAATACATTGTTAATCTAAACTTATCTATGTAAAAAAAGGCAACATAGTTACATAGAAGTATGTGTAAAGGATGGTATTAACCTTGGTAAATATAGGAATACTTTAAATAAGTTTTATAAAAGTTTTATTGAAAATACTGCCTAATTACACGAGTGGAATATATTTCAAACCTCTTATCTAGGACACAACACATTCTGCAGAGCAACCACCCCACAGAAATGAAATACTGTGGAGTGTATACATATTTATTTGTGTTTACTTGTTTATTTTCAAAACATAGGGTCTCTTTTTGACTAAAGGACTTGTCACTTGCCTTTCCCAACAAATTTATCATAGAATCAAACAAGAATCCACCTAAGAAGAGCCCATGAAAATATATCACAAAGTCTTTATGAGTTTGTGCAAAAATAATTAATTATTCTCAGAATTTGCATTACCATTTTTTTTCTGTTTGCTTACTTAGGGTAGTAAGTTTGTGAACAGTTTTAATTAACAAAGCATAACAGAATTTTGAGCACTTCAACAGGCTGCATATTTATGTATTTTTATAGAAACCGAATCTGAGGTTGGATGTGGCTTTCACAGGAGTGATTATTTTAACAGATCATTCCAATTAATTAGACGGGTGGGAAATTGTCACATGACCACAGCTTCCCTTTCATTCTGTGATCAAAATAGTTTACAGTGTGTTCTGATTTTTTTCTTAAATTCTGTTTGAAATGATTCAATTCTGCTTCTGAGAAACTGAGTTTCAACTCAGAAACAATTGAACTTTAAATGTAAGTCTATTGGGCAACACAAAAACTGGCTTGTTTGATGATTCAGATGATAAGGAGAAATGAAACAGATGAGCAAATTTCAAAGCTCTAAAATAGAAATTGTGACTCCCTTGAGAACAATACCAGGCAGCTCTATAATATATAACCACTGGATGCAGAGATTTGGTTCCTTCTTTTTTCCAGAGCATGACTTTTACATCTAGTTTTTCTACTGATGTGCTCGTTAGATGAAGCCTAAATTAACAAATCATTCTATACTTGTGGTCGTTCCTGATGCGATATCAGGGAGCCACTTGGTTAGATTAATTTTGAAAATAAATTTCAGTCAAACCTTTATTTTCACTGAGAGAAAAGTCATTAGGTCAAGACCTGTTTTATCACTTTTCACCTGCCTTTTCCTAACATGTTACCTAAGAACAATGTCTGGTGAGTTGGTTCTGTTCTTCTGTTGAGGGTTCCTATACTTCAGTGAAGAAAAAAGTTCTTATCATTATTAGAAATAGAGAAACACGGTTGCTGCATTTCTACAGTTCTTCACTGTAACAACTGATAGTGGGACTGAAAGATCAAAGGAAGCGAGAAGGGACATGATGCATTTTATACATTCTGGAAGTAAAGCTATATGCAAAAAGCAACTCTTCACTGTGTCCTTATGGAACGATTTAATTTCTGATGCAAGCAGCACAGTTTTTCCATGTTTTTTTTTGCACTCTGAACATTCATGGTATCTCAAATCAGTCATCTCGGAACAGTAAGTGTTCTTTGGGTTGAATGAGGGTGAAGTACTATCAAGAAAGAACAACCGAAATAGAAGAGTATTAACAGTGGAAAACTATCTTATCTACAAAAGAAGCAATGATTAAGTCCTCAATAATTTTATTGGTTATATTTGGGCTTACAAAGTGTCCAATCACATGTCCTTGGGTCAGGGACAAAGGTGTAAAGAAAAAAACAGGTAAAAAGCAAGGTTGAGATTCCTAATACAGAATAAAAGTCCCGAGTCCCACCAAAAAATGCTCTTCTTTCCACGAAGACAGATACTAAGAATGTTTTCCTATATCAGCTGAAAGGGGAGGCACTCAGCATATCATAGGTTCGAAATATGAGTTTTGAAAGCTGACACTTTTAAGCTCTTATTCATAAGAGACTGAATTCCATGGCTGAAGCCTTCTACCTGGAAAAAAATCTGATGCATTAATTTAAGAAATTATCAGAATTAACCAATTAATAATTCATGATGGTTTTGCAAACCTTCAAGGTGTGCAAAGCTGTACAGTCTGCTGGAAAGAATGTGAATTAGGACCATGAGCATAATTCTACCTCTGTCATTGACTCACTGTAGTCTTGAGGAAGTCACTCTGTCCTTCTGCCTGTAATAATGACATTGTGTAGCTCATTTGGGTGTGAGCAGGTTCATTAGTTAATGCTTAATATTGCTTTAAAGTGCAAATTGTTTTCTGAGTGTTTGGTATTGTTATTAAAAAAAGAAATAAACAGGAAACGTCAGTCAGGTAATGTCATCACTGAGACATTAGATCCCTCAGTGTCACGGACGAGAGAGGCAGTGGCTCAAATAACAGCATTCTTTATGGACAGAAATGTGCAAAACCAGGGCTTTTCCACAGCTCTAACACACTGCATGCATTGTCAGCTACTGCATCTCCCAGTGTCTCTTTTCTCCTTTAAGCACATGGAACATCTCCTCTGTAAAACACTGAGGTCAGCAGTTACCCTTTAAAGATTTGTATAAGATAAACAAGCTCATCACCAGTCTCCTGATTACTTTTCCTCTGAGACAAATGGCTTTTTATTGAGCTGGAGTCTGAGGGAATGCCCTGGCCATCCTCACGGGACCTTTTAGCGCTTGGCACAGCACCATCTCAGCTGGTCATGTTTTTATGCATCTGCCCTGCCGTGTGCCCCCACGAAGAAGCAGAAAGGCTTGTTCAGCCCCACTACTGATGCAAGTCAAAACCCCCGCATTCAGGATCCCGCTCTGGGGTCCTGCTGACGCAGCTGCGGATTTAATTGAGGCAAACTGGGATTCTCACAGAAGCCCACGAGGCTGCCAGCACCCTCCCCGCGGTAGGGACTCTCCGGGCCTGGCCCTGTGCCCCAGAGCCGCTCCCTTCCTGTCGCCGTGCAACAAATCAAAGGTCCCTCTCAAAAGGCGGTGAAGTTTTCTCCTTCAAAGTGCTGATTTTTATGAGGGATATGGTGGCAGCCTGAGAGAGGAGCAAAACCAGGAAACTGGCTGCAGGGTGCTCGCGAGGGCCTGGAAATAAGAGATGCACTGGGAAACACCGTTTCTCTCCCAGGAAGACTGCCATGCCTTGCCAGAGGCCCCGAAAAAAAAAAAAAAAAAGTCGGTTTGGTGTAGCTCTCACGACCTGGCTGCTCGTGCTGCGCTAAACGCAATTTCCCTGTCTGTTGCCAGAGAAACCCCGTCCAGCCGTGACGCCCACACCCCGCCTCGCCCCACAGCCCGCCCAGGTTTCCACACCCAAGATGGCTCCACAATAGCTTCGCTCGCTATTCAGGGCCTAATTCCATCATGGCAGTACGCTTCCCACCGGCCGGCGCAGGCCCTGCCCTTTCTCAAAATGGCAACCACCTAACTTCAGCCCGGGGGAGGGGTTGCCTTCCCTCCCTTCGCCTTTCCCTTTAGCAAAATGGCGGCGAGGGGCGCTCACGCCCCGCCTCCCAGGTGATTGCCAGGTTGCGGGGTCACGTGACACGCGGAGCCGGGCAGCGGCGAGTTGCTGTAGGGACGGGGAGGCGCGCCCGGGACGCCGTCGGCGGAGCGGCGCGGAGCAGCGCGGAATGGCGCGTGTGGCTCTTCTGTGGGGCTGGTTCCTGCTTGGCTGCAGCTGGGGCCCGGGCCCCCCCGGTGCCGGTGCCGCCGCGCTCTTGAAGGCCACCTACGTGCTGGATGATGCCGGCGGGCTGGGCAGGCAGTTCGACGGGATCGGGGCTGTCAGCGGCGGCGGGGTGAGCGGCGCCGGCGGGGGCGTGTGTGTGTGTGGGGGGCTCCTCCTGCATTGTGGTGCTAATACCCTCCTCGGGGCGCCGGCTGCAACGAACGCTGAGGCGGGGGATCCCATCAGTGGGAGTGCTTGGTGGCTTCGGCGCTGGCCCTTGAGGCTTCGGCGAGGCGTGGGCTGGGGGCTGTCTCTGAGGGGGGCCGTGGAGCCTGGGGGGGGGGGGGGGGCTCTGAGGGGAGCCGTGAGAGCCGGGGGGGAACTGTGAGGGCGGAGGGGAGCGGGGGAGGGCGTGAGGGGAGCCCGGGCACCCCCAAGGGGCGCTGGGCGGGCGGTGGTCCCGGCTGCGGGGGGAGCTGGAGCCGGGCCCGGGCCTTGTGCTGCGCGGGGTGCCGGGGGCCAGCCGCCTCGGTGCTGGCGGAGGAGGGCTAAGCCAGCGCGGGGTTTTTCTGTAGAGGGTCTCTCTACCTCCTCATCTCTGGCATTTTTAATACGCTGGGCGAGCCGATGGCCAGTTGTATGCTTTCCTGTGGTGCAGCCAGCAGCAGAGCTGTGGGTTCCTGCGAGTTCTTACCCACTCTTGACCTTCTGAGTTGCTTTCCTTCCCCTCCTGCCTGCCTGCCCTGTGAGCTCCGGTTGCCTTTGGTATATGGTGAACCAAAGCAGCGAGATTCGAGTCGAGCAGGAGAAATGGTGATGGGAGGGAGCTGTGTTTTGCTTGTGCTAAGTTTGTGAGGTGTTTTTGTTTCTCTGTGCTCTGGACTGTCTTCGCAGTAGATTGCAAGTAACTGAAGTACGAGGCAGTCTGCGAAACCAGAAATGCACAATGATGGGTTAGAAAGGAGTTTTCGTAGGAGCTTAGCTGAGTTCCTGGTGCTATATTTATTTTTGTAGGTTTATTAGCTATGGGAAAGTCCCAGACTGACAAGCTGAGACATCTGTGTTTGAAAGCTGGGTTTTCATATTTTCATTGCTTTCCATTTTAGGCCACATCTAGACTACTGGTGAACTATCAAGAACCTTATCGCTCCCAGATTTTAGATTACTTGTTCAAGGTAAAGTCCGTTTCATTGCTACAAGAATGTCTAATTTCATGCAGAATTTCTTATTGTATAATGTTGGAACTCTTCCAGTATAGTCAGCACTACTTGAAATTAGACAAAATCCCATTTTGTAAAACATCTACTTTTAATGTTGATTTTTAGCAGAACCTTAAATTTTAGCTGTTGTTTTTGACAACCAGCATGTTGTTCAAGAGCTTTTTTTTTTTCAGATTACTATGAAAATTCCTTTTATGTCTTCACAATATGTTTTAAAAAATATGTTTGCAATATATTTTGATCATCCATGTCGGTTTAGTGAGGATTAAATCGTTTTTGCGGCTAAAATGAGGGGTTTAGCTGTCCACAGTGATTGCAGGAAGTTGGTCTTCGGGGCAGTTTTGATTTTTTTTTTTTTTTGGAGTACATATAATGTGAAAATGAGTCTGCAGCGTGCTTCATTTCAATAGCATATCTATTCCAAACCAGTCTCAAGTATAAGTGTAGTTACTCTAGAAGGTGTGTGAACATTACTGGTGTGTAACCTGCTTTAGTTAGCAAGTGCAACCTATGGAGTTAACCAATTAAATATATGGTAAGATTATTGCACTGGATGGTAATAACTTGTTTTGCTTTTGGCACTGTAAATTACTCTGCTGGAAGAGGATGTCATGTCACTTTCAAGTAATGTAATCCAGATTGCTGGAGGCAAATGGCAAATAACTCACTGTGTAGTTTAAAGAATTGGTTTTAAAGGGTAGAGTAAGGCATAATTTGTGACGGGGGGATCAAACTCTATGTTTTTTGGAGACTGAAGCTACGTGTTACAAATACGAGTTTTCTGGAGGTATCAATAGACATGTGGTAAAAGAAAATCTAGCTGAGAGATCATGATGTTCAAAGAATTTTTGACATGGTCTTCCAGCAAAACCTCTCAAGCTGCCATGAGATACCTGGGAGGGATATACCTTGCCTCGTTCTCCTTGTCCTTTAATGCCAGTCTACTTTCATGATGGGGATGAGAGAGCAAATGTGTTAGAAGTTTAAAATCACAAGTGTCAGGAAGAGAAATGATAAATTGGGAGTATTTGCTTCTTATTTAAAAGCAAATATAAAATATCCAAAACTTGAAAGAAAATCAAACTATCATCTATGCAGTTTATTTTTTTAATCAAACTGCATTCTCACATCTTAAAATATTTTTTTTTTTGAATGCCGAAATTATACTTGAGTAATTCCATGGAGGAAGCCATTAGTGGTTAAAATAATGATTAGTTGTAACTTCTGGCTTGAGCAATTCTTAAGACACTAATAGGCTGGAAGAACATACTAGGAGTAGGATCACCTGTGTGAGCTTGAATTTTATATTCTGCTCCACTAGTCAGATATCAGGGACAGAGGTTAGTGAACTAGGTAGCTATTTGTTTTCCAGTGTGGTGTTTTTTTCTCTCTTGCTTTTCTGCCTATAGTTAGCAGATTATTTCTGACCCATATGTATGCTCTTTCGCATAAGCAGTGTAACCCTTTATACCAAAGAATAAATTATTTGCAGAAATTTTAACTTCAGTATGTTGATTTTAAAAGAAAACAAACTTCACTTCTAATAACATTAAAAATACTGTTGAGTTCCTCATGTAGCTCATGTTCTACTTTAAGAGTGCTTCAGTATTTTCCTGAGCATAACCAATTTAAAATCAGCACAGCTGAGGTGAGGTGTTGTTAATGGTGCAAGGGTCAGTGCACCTGACTCAAGATAAGTGTGGTATTTATGTTGCTCAATTTCCTTCTGAAGCAGAATTTTGCATTCTCTCTCATTGCTTCTATAATGGGTGTTGACAAAAATAAAGTTGAATAGCATCCTCAAAATTGTACACTTATTTATTGCATTCTTGTTAACAGCAGGATTCTGTTTGGTTTTCTGTCTTTTTTTTTTTTTTTTCCTTAGCCAAATTTTGGTGCTTCTTTACATATCTTCAAAGTAGAGATCGGAGGTGATGGACAATCAACAGGTATGGATTTTGCACGAGCATGGTTTAACTTCTTGTTACAGTGATGACATAACTAACATGTCCTGCATGTGTCACTTTAGCTGAAGCATGGAGATACATTCTGTAGTTGTACTGAAGATGCAGACAAACATAAATGACATCTGATAACTTATAGAAGAGAAATTTACCCTACTTTTCTGGAGACAGTTCTCACTGTCATATGGTTAATAGGTTGCAGTCTAGAGCAAATGAGTTCTTTTTTCTCCCCCAGAGATGAAGGAAGCTCTGGTAGCTTTCTGAATTGCAGAGCATTTCTCAAACACTGGTTTTGCAATACAAACTGTAAAACTTGCATAGGACTAGGTAGTTTATATCTTAAAAGCATGAAAATGCGAAAACAGCTGGTCGAAACCATTTGTGTTTCTTTGGTTTAATGAGCTGCTGCATTTCACTGGAGTGGTGTTGCCTGACAGTAGGCACTACTTTTTTTTTTTTTCTTTTTTGCCTGGCCACAGTTGCAAATGAAAATGTCTTGATGTAATTTGCCTAGCCTACTGTATGTACATATAGGAGAAACTGTTTAGTAACTGCTTGTGATCAGAAGCTGAGAAGCAGTAATGAGACTACAGTTTGTATCTTCCTCTCCCCCACCCCATCTCCCCCAAAGTAATTGTTGGCCACATCAAGAATAGGCTTAAAGCCGACTCAGTTAATAAATTGAAAGCATAGCATCTGTCTTTGTGGCATTTTATAACTATTTTTTTTAAAAGTCTGTGTTTGTGTAATTAGATACTGTTTTTCATTCTTCGCTTTCCCTAAGAAAAATTAATGTGGTAAAAAGCATTATACTGTGTTTAAGAGCTTGGTATTTGGTCAATAAATTGCTGGTTAGAGGAGAGTGGAGTCATGTTCATGCATACACAGACCTTCTCTTCAAACACTCTTGTTGCTGGCTAAGGAGAGCGTTACATACTTGTGTGATGGCTTTTTAGATTTTAGGAGACAGTAAGATGCATACATCTTAACACGCTAGTCTGCAGCTCTTATTCTGACTACACAGGTGTGATCAGGAGTCTAAATTTGGAATTTAATTGTTGTTCTATGTCTCTGGAAAATAGAACTTCCAAACAGTCAGGTGTTACTAAGGTAAAAATCAATCCTATTTTCTGTAATGAAATGTGCTGCTTTGGCAGGCTTCATTTAAAAAAAAAAAAGTCTCATCAGAAGAGATCTCTGGGGCAATTAGGCATATAGTTTAGCATAAGTAATTGTTGCAGTTGCATGCACAAGTTATTGACTTACTGACTTTTGTGTTTAATGATTTCCCATGCAACACTGATTCTTTTGTGCCTTTCTAGTTTGTTTACCTTTGCCTGAGGGAATTCAGTGCACAGTCTTCAATTCCAAAAACTCTTCCTGCAGGCAGGAAACACCATGGAAATGACAAACTAGATCTTTTACTATAAAAATAAAAAAAATCTCTTTTCTGCCACTGCAAAACTTCCTGGCAGTTCCTTTATTTTCTCTCCCCTGACTTGTCTTGCACAGAAGAAACAAACTATAACTTTTTTAATGTTTGCTTTTTGTTTAGGTATAACCTGCTTCTACAAATTTGGTTCCCCCCTCTCGCCCCGATCTTAATGCTGTAACTTTCCTAGTGGTTGTTGGGACCAAAATTATCACTAATATAGACTTATATGTGTTATCATAACTAGGGATATAAAATGCCCAACAGTTAATCACATTCTGATGTTAAAAGCAGGCATAGTACCTTAAAAATAAAAAATAATAAATTTATACTAAGTAATATGCTAAGAATGAAGGTTGGCAAGTTTTGCATGTTCCCTCCCACTACTCATTTTGCTTTGAAATACATACCAAAGAGCACGTGAACCATGTTGGAGATATGTGTTTGCATATTACGGCAGTGAGCAATACAGAAAACTTTATAATGTGTAACAGCTTATGACCCAGAAGATAATTGTGAGCTACCTGTGTCTCTCCTTCCCAGATGGTACTGAACCCTCCCATATGCACTATGAAAATGATGAGAACTACTTCCGGGGCTATGAATGGTGGCTGATGAAAGAAGCTAAAAAGAGGAACCCTAAAATTAAACTGATTGGTAAATTGCTTCAAGCTTTAAGATTTAAATGCTTTTCCTCCCCCTAACTAAATTATGTATCTGACCATTAATTAGCATAATGATTTTAATGGGCAGATGTTTTGATGGTGCAGTAGACAAAGCAGAATCTCTAATATTTGGTAAGCTTGTATTGATGCTTCACTTAAGCTTACTGTGTTTTAGTTTGTTACAGTAGCACAACATTCTTGCATTGTGCTACTTGTTACAAGCAGCATATCAAGAATGTATGTAGCGAGTAGCATAGGATAAGAAATTAATCATTTGCTTGCATTGAGTAACATTAATGCTTAGACTGTATCACAGCAATGAACATAAATGATTGATCATGAGAGCTGAGTTTCTGAATAATAGAGTAAAAAAATTGGGAGGGATAAAGTAAACTTACAGGAAGTATAAATCTGTAAATCTTACATGTGCTAAATTCAATTAAATGTTCTTATTACAAACCTATCACCCCCTCCCCACTGTACTGGTTCTTGTCTTACTTCAATTATGTATATAGTTGAGTTGTAGGAGGACTTTCCTGTCTCCCTGTTTTGATTGTGGGTTGTGTGTGTGCTGTGACAGTACGAATGTGGAACACTAGATTTTAACTGAAACACTTTGCAAAATGTATTTCACATGAAACAAGGTAAGAAATCTATGAATTAAAGTATCTAGCCTTCCCTCTTCCAGGGATCAGGCTTTGCCATATCTAGCCACAAGGCATGACTTGGTATAGGATTTACTAATCAGGTTCACAGACAGGCATTGTGACAAGCAGTAAGCTTACCATCTATGTCTAATTGTTATTAATAACCTCCCTCTTCCCTCAGATCAAGTGCTCAACAAAGGAAGGAGCGTTTACCTTTGAATTAGCTTATGGTGTCTTATGCAAAGTCAGCTGAAAACTTAGTAGGATTTGGTTAGGTTAATTTGTTGTTCTTATCTACTACAAGATCCAGTAAACAGCTGAGACCCAGAAATGCTTTCTTATGATCCTAATCTTTCTTATTCTGTGATGATCAGATTGTTGATTCTTCTGAAATTCGTATTCAGGAGATTAAAAATTTTTGGTCTTCAGTATTGATCCTTTGTCTATAACTATAAATTTTTATCCTAAAATCTTTGGAATCCATTAGAGCTAATACCACACAATTTAAAGATTGTATGCAGTTAATTGCTGTCTAGCAATGAAGGTTTTCCAGCTTAAAAAAAAAAAAAAAAGGCATCTATTAATGTGTGTGTTTGCAATTTATATTAGAGCATACTCTGCAGTTAAGGAAGTTATTTTTCATTGTCTTCACTGGAACTATGTGAATTTGAAGTGCACGTCTGTTCCTTTATTTTAGGTAGAACAAATTAGAGCTTGCTGTTGAAGCTTACTGAGTAATGTAGACCAACCTCTTATCTTACTCATTTGTTTTTCCTCTCTTTCTAGGATTACCTTGGACATTTCCAGCATGGATAGGGAAGGGCGAAAACTGGCCCTATGACTATCCAGATGTCACTGCTTACTATATTGTTTCTTGGATATTGGGAGCTAAACAGTATCATGATTTGGACATTGATTATATTGGGGTCAGTAAAACAAAATCTCCTGTATATTTTATCTATCTTAATTCCAAAGATCTTGGTCTTGTCTATTTGTTGATTACTGGATGAGGAGGATGGGAAGAGAAATTGTTTTGTAATTGCAGTTTTGGCTTTTTCTATTGCAAGGGGAAAGACTGAAGTTATGTTAGTTTACAGTCCCTCTGCAATAATGGCCACTAGAGCAGAACCAGTGTAAAATGGCTAGTCTCCCGCCTTCCCAATTCTAGAAAAAAGTTACCAGAGAATTTGAGAACTCTGAAATCTGTTCACATCTTGGACTTGTAATTTTCTGTCTTGCTTGTTTTGCTTGGGTTTCAGCAGTTATCAGCTATATAAAAGCATTAGTTAAGACAGAGTTTGTGAAAGTCAGCTAACATGACTTCTTAGCATAAAATATGATCACTGTTTAGCAGAAGGGCAATCCTCTACAACTTCTTCCATTTTTACCTGCATTATTTATTGTAGATAAAGGTACATGTGTTACAGTAAATTATAACTACTGTATTGTGTTACTGTGCAATATATGGAAGTAGTGAATGAATGCATGAGAAAAATGTCACAATTTGGAGATGAGAGAAAGAGGCAGACAATCTCAAAAAGCACTTTTCAAGTTCATTATTTGACTGAGAATCAACTTTTACAATTTTTCTTCCAATTAAGAAAATGTGTGGCTAGGATTCCCCTAAAATCAGTCCTATATTTATTGAAACACTTATTCTGAATTTCTTAAGTTTTTTTGATAGGAGACAGTAGTTTAACTGCAGAAAAGCTGAAAATCACCTCAGCAGTTTCCATCCCTCAGAGGAAGTCTTACCTTTCTGCTGTAATATGGGGAGGTATATCTGATGTGTATCTCCTCTGGAATGCATCCCCCTCGATGTTGCTGACTTATTTCAGCTCTGTTGGTCTTGCACTTTGGGTAACACAGTGATGCTTCAGTAATTCACTTGGTGGGCACAGGGAGAACAACTTCCTATAGTCTTGGAGTATAGCAGTTAAGTTCTGCTCTTTAGGTATTTGAGTAATGTCTGGCTTCTGTGTTGTTACTTCACAGTGACTGGCCTTCTGAATTCTATATTTCTAAGAAAAGCAAATTTTTGCTTTTGCAGGCAATGTGATAACATTGCATATTGCCTGATTTCTTTGTGGGTATAATCTGAAATACAGGAAAACAGTGAGGTCTGTGAAGGCTCAGAAACTGTCAAATCACTTTTAATGCTGTTCTGATTCTACATTGTTAGCCTTTACTGCTCTTGGTTTATAGCATGTGTCATATATTGTTAATAGCTTTATGATGAAATGAGCCTTTCAGTAAGTAACTTTTTGATTGGCTCATTTCTGAAGTCAGATATTAGCACTTACAGAAAGATCTAGAAATATGAAAATCAAATGGATATATCCTACCCACAGGAAACTGCTTGTATGTGGTTGGGTAATCTATACCTACAGGGGGATACTTTCACCCTTACTGGTGTGAGTCACAGTGTTCATGTTGTGGTTAGAAAAAAAGAAAGTAAGAAAGTTTCTGACTATGCTTTTTATTGGCCAGGGTATTTGGTAGAAATATGAAGACCAGCATTTCCGCTTTTGAAGTTTGAGCTGTGTGTTAAGCTTAAACGCTTTTTCCATAAAAGATGGAAAATCCACAGCAACAGAAATGAGATAATTTTGTGTCCGTTTACTTCGACTGTGCTGGATCTCTCTTGTGTTCAAGTATGGATAGAGTCCCTTGTAAATAAGAAGGAACTTAAAGTTTAATTGAATAACCCCCTAAAACTGTAGGCAGTTGTTCAATATGTAACTTACTCTAGCTCTTCTGTGTCAGTGCATGACAATAGGGCCCATTCATTCGGACCACACCTTGCAGCCACAATGTGTTCTTCAATGATTTCTAACAAACTGTAGCCCCACTGGTAAGAATGTCTTGTGTAACACCCCTACCATTGTAGGGCTTGAGCAGCTCTCGAGTTCTTTTCCACAAGAAGGCAGTCAGTAGACCTTAGAGAAAGAAAAAGAAGCACTATTTTGAACTTTGATATGGAATTTTCCCCTGAAGAGCTGGTAACAAAACCAACCAGAGCACTTTCCTCTAGCAAACTGAAACCATGGAGTTCATTAATGGATTGTATAATCTTGCATATACATAAATAAAATATTTCATTATGCATTGACATATCCAGATTTTTCTAAATGACTTTCTGCTTTTCCTTTATAGATATGGAATGAAAGGGCATTTAATAGCAAATACATTAAGGTATGTATTTTTTCTTATTTCTCTAAAGTGAAGCGTTTTGTTATCATGTGTAAAAAAATAGCTTTTCTGAATTTACCTAGAAAAGGGACCTTAATCCTGCAACTGCTTTACTCACTGAACTCTGTTTCTTGCAGTCATGGAATGCTAATAGGATCATATCTCTAGATCTCTTTCCATGTGTGTCTGAAACTGTTATTTTGAACTTTAAGTGTGTCAGTGTATGCTAACTATTTAGGACCTCTACATTTTAATGGAAGCTCCACTTGATGCTACTGAAATCATACATATTCATCATCTTTATACTGGCTTGGATATAGTTATAAGTCCAAGATCTAGAATTACTTAAAATTCTGTAGAAAAGTTCCAGTGGATATAATATGCTTAAATCATTGCTATAAAACTCCAGGTTTTTATTTTATGGTAAACATAATAAAGGCTCTGTGTTTTCAGCTGTGCAAAATTCAGTACATTCTGTTCTAAAAGAGTTGGAAAAACACAGTATTTCACATAACCAACCTTGAGATATCTCTAATATCTCCCTCTGCTGCCTACCCCTGCTGCCCACTGCCCTTCTTTGAAAACTCACTTCTGTTTGTTATGTTGAAGTGGAATATTAACTACAAGCTTCTGCTTTGTTGATTTCTGTTGCTGCTTTGAGACAAAGAAGCAATAACATAACCCCTTCAAAGCAAATAAGAGTTAAATTGAGTGTATAGAAAAACTTTTTTTTTTTTTCCAAAACTCAGGAGGGATTAGATCCCACTTGCTTAAAATTAATTGATTAATAGCTGTCAGAACAGTTTCAGTTCTTACAGCTTGTGTACAGTGCATGAGGTTTGTCACATCAATTGTTCTTGGCAACTTCTGTAGTTATTTTGTTCAGTGATTAGTTTTAGTAGAATGATACAGGAGATGGCATACAACAGTTAAACTTGACATTGCAGTAAAAGCAAAAAGGTATCCTTAAATATCTTTCATGAGGCTGGCATATATAAAATTCTGTCTACTCCTGAAAACTGAGAATGTTCTCCTGTAAAACATTTCTTTTAAAAATTATATTTCCTAGAATGTAGAATTAAGTGAATACCTTTACAGCTGTTTCCTATGATTTGTGCCGTGCTTTGACTGAGGGAGGGCAGGAAGCACAGGTAGGAAGCTTTGTGCTGGTCATATACCTTGTACAAAGAAAGAGGAGTACATTATATCTACCTTTATGGATTTCTTGTTAACAAATATGTTAATCAACCATGTATTTTAAACTGATCTACCAGGTCCCCTAGTATCACAGTAACTTAGTTTTCTGAGTCTTGTAATGTCTTAGACCAAATTCTGTAATGTATACTTCACTCCTAAATTTTATTAAAGGTATTTTCTAGATTCTCACTTTTGTAGGCTGCTAGGCCGTTAGTTCTTTTTGGGCACAGAGGTTTGGCACTGGCGTTTCAGCGACTTACAAAATCCCTTCCAGAGAAAACACAAATACACTGAAGCGTGACACAGCAGGATATTTTGGTATCTGTGTCAAGGTGTCTTGTTTCTTTGGGCATGTTAAGTAACAAAACTCTGGTGGATGTGTAGATACTTCAGATTTTGCTAGTTGTCCTGGTTTGAACCCAGAGGGCAACTGAGCACTACGCAGCTGCTCACTCACCCCTTCCCCCTCTGGGATGGGAATGAGAAAATAAAGCAAAAGGCTCAGGAATCAAGATAAGGAGAGAGAGATGAGTCACCCATTATGGTCATGGGCAAAAGACAGATTCCTTAAGGTAAGAAAAAGAACATCAATTTAATTAAAACACTAACACCACTACCACTTAACAGAGTAGGATTTTCTTTTACAGAAAGTGGTTCACTAATTGGGAATAGGCTAATGGAGAAATCACTAAGGGTACTAATAGTCTCCTAAAGGATATTCGAATTGTAGGTAGATGGTAGATTATTCTGGTAGGTGAGGAGGGGGAAACGTGTATGTGGACTTCAAGTAGAAATCTCTAGTTGTCTCGTATGTAAGTTATAGAAGCAAAACCAAACAGAACTGAAAATATTTGTTTGCAGACTGGAATAAAATAATGCAAGTAAGATGGAAGATAAATACTGAGAAATTTTTTTTGAGCTGCAAGTTTTATTTCTTCACTGACTAGATGTTGCTTGAGATGCCTATGAGACTGAACCCTTTGTAAAAAAGAATCACTGGAGAGAGTAGGCAGATCTTACTATAAATAAAATACTATTTTTTTCCCTGATATCACTAATTTGCTCTTTTTTTTTTTTTTTTTGTAACTGGTTTTCTGGCTTTCTGTAGGTCTTGTAAGAAATAGAAATGTTCTGTTTTGCTCAGTTCTTTGTCATGTCATCTGGAGGCTTTCTCATCTGTTTGTTTTGGCTTCCTAATGTGGGGAGAATGAATGCGGAGAGCAAACTCAAGTGTAGGTGCAACATTCTACTTGTTAGCTTTTTAAATGCCGTTGAATTGGGACTAAGCTTTTGGCTTCTAGAGCTAGATGTTTAGTTTAAAGTTTGATCTTAAAATCACCCAATTTGCTGAAAAGTGTCAGATTTTCCTCCACTGTACATTAATTGATATAAGGCTTTTTACCTAACACCTGTTTTAATCTTCATTCTCTTTCACTCTGCAGTGTCATGTGGTATCTATTCTCTAATCAGCACAACAGATCTATTTGCAGTCTGCCATTTCGAAAAAGATCTATTTACTGAAGCGTGCTGTTGCACACCAGACATTTTCTGTAATGTCTGACAACTACATGACATAGATAAGGTTTTAGTTTTCTTGTTAAATTTTTACTTGTAAGAAGTTGTTCTAGTTACCTCATCCACTAAGGTACTAGTTATATTTCTTACTAATAAGGAAAAATGATGGTTCTATTGCTTGTAAATTCTTACTGAAGAAGAACCTATTCTTCCAATTATATTTTCAAATACTGTCATCTTAAACTAACCCTAAAATTTAAGGACTGTCTGTATGTAAACATGAATATGGATATGGGGGAACCATCCTGCATATGTTATTGTGGAGTACATTTTGAGTTCTACAGTTTTGTGTCCTTGGTTCTTGTCTTTCAACATGGAAGTTCTGCAACTTTTCTAGTAATTTTCTTCTGAACTATCTCTAGGGTTAGACAGTTTTTCCGAACATCTAGCTAGCTAGAAAGCTTTAAAGTAAGTATTTCTACCATTGTGAAATTTTTCTGGTAAACTTTATGCTTCAAAGGCTTCAAGCAGCTGAACAGAACTTCATTGCTACTTTTCTTCTTCTTAGGAAGTTTTATGTCCTTTAGGTCTAGTCTTTCATTGTCACCAACACTCAGACTTTGCTTTGTGTCCTTATTTGGTTACACATCAAAATAGAAATGCTCCCTACTCTCCTTCACGTTGCTGGAGGGCTATTCCAAGAAACTAGTTAAGGATTCACACCTACTGATCTTCAAATTGTTGGAAAAATCTTTCGTGTGCATCCATGCATACATACAGCACATGGTACATCATTCCTTTATATCCAAGATTGGAAAAAAAGGATTTTAGACTGTGGACTGATATTTTTTTCAGATACAACTGTATGAGGAGGCTGCTGAAAATACATTTTAAAGGTTTTTTTTTCTTATTGAGTCTTCAGATGTAACATGCTTGTATAATACCAGCCCTGTATAATAAGACTGGTTCAGTCTTAACTGTTAGAGCTGGGTATATTTTGTCTAAGAACTTCTACAGGCAGATGTGAGAGGTTTATCATCTTTAACAGTGAAATAGTAAGGAGAAGCTGGAAAGATGGAATAGGAATTATCTTCTGCTGGCATGTTTGAGTTATAAGTTGACTGTCCCCAGTTTTGTTTTTGATACGCAATTCCAGTTTTACGCATTACTGTCCTGAAAATTAATGAGACATATGAGAGCCAAGTAGTGGATAAATTTAAATATCAGACATTTATAACAAAGATTTTTTTTTTTTTCTCAGTAAAATAGCCTATGAAAATAATACTTAGGCGCTCTTCACTTGAAAAGGACAGATATTTGGCAAAGATTTCTGTTCTTGTAGAAGACTGCATGGTTACAAGGTCTTTTCTAGTTTAATCCTTCAAACACTGTTTTCTCAATATACTTTTTTGGGGATCAGGTTAACTTCTGATCACTTGTGGAGGTATGTATACTTCCTCATTCCAGCCAGTCATAATTTTTAAGTTAACTTAATGTGACTGACTTTATGATAAATCCATTACTCACATGCAATGAATTAAGTGCATGCAATGGCTGGGATCAGTATGTTGAGAGTGTCCAAGTGGAGTACATGTATGCACATGTGATGTCAAAAGTAATCCAAGTGATGAGAAGCCCATTTTTGTGTAATAGCTATCCGAATGACATAGATAACCCTTCAGTGTTAAAAATACTTATCATTAACTTTGCCTTAGTTGTCAATGTGGCTCTCCTTTGAGAAGTGAGAACTTTATTCATCTTGGTCTGAAGACAAACGCTTCCACTGACTTCTACAGTTCTTAAATTGTTTTCAGTCTTAAATTTTCATGTTGCCTGATTGATGAAGGCTGTACTTTAAGTGGTGTTATCTGTTGCTAAGGTACTTCGACAATCTTTGGACAGACTGGGTCTAAGGAACATTGGCATCATCGCTGCGGATGGAGATTGGAACGTTTCAAAGGAGATGATAGTTGATCCCTATCTTAACGATGCTGTTGAGGTAGTTGGGTAAGTGTGGGAGAAGGGACATTGCTTATTGCTTTATTTCTGTAAGTAAGTCTTCATCTCCACTTTGAGAAGTCATATATTCTTATTTCATACTTCCTGGTTATTCCCAGTTTTTTCATCATCATGTACAGTGGTGACTGATTACTCTTTCTTGTCTTCCTCTCTTCTTTCAGTTTAGTACATGTGTAACGTAACCTTACTGCTCTTCCATCATTTATTTGAAGTGTTCAGTTAGGAGCTATGTTTTCGGCATCTTATCTTAGCACTAGCAAATAACAGGAGACTTGTAGCTAGTCTGCACGTGCATCTTAAAGTCAGAAAAACCTAAAACCTTAGGATTGAATTCTTGTTCTGCAGTCAGTTTTAATTTCAGGTGAACTTGAACTTTCACACAGGAACTTATCACCCTGGGACTTCATATGCTTGCAGCATTCTCTGTTACGTGTCCTTTGCTTGAGATTTTTCTGGTCATGTCCTAAAGCTAGGAATTTGTTGCTTATCTAATAACAGATAGTATTAGAAGTGCACACACAGACAGTAAAGTAGAAGTAAAAGCAAGCATTCAAAGTATGTTTTTAAACTAATACAACTTATTGCAATTTTAGCAGCTAGGAATGCCCACTGTTGTAGTTCTAGAAAATGGGAACTTGATGTTTGCCTGCACTCTTGCTCCATAATACGCTTTATTACCTTGCTTCTGTCATACTTATTCTTCTGCTCTTGCTTTCTTGATAATCTCTGATTTTTCAAAACTGTAGATAGGTTTTTAAAAATTACAGCATGTTCCGGGTAGAAATGGCCTATATGTATGTAAATTGTTCATTTGTGTTATGTTTATTAACTTTCTTACCTCTGTTGTTAATCTTACTGTGATAAGAACATGCTTGTGGTCACTAGTCTACCATTTATCCTCATTTGTATGTAAGGGGGTGTGATATGCTTATAATTGTTTAAACTAATGCATGGTTCAGAGGTTATACAAGCCAGGTAAGCAGAGATTTTATGAAGAAACTGCTTTCATATATGTTGAGCTTGTAAACACTGGTCACCTGGAAGTGGCTGCCTGAGAAATACCAGTTATAATGCCAGCACTGAGTAACTCATTTGGTTTAAAAACCGGTAACTTCCTTAGGTTAGGCAAGAGTTGCACCTCAGCAAGTTATAGCGAATTAGGAAGTGTTTTAGTTCTGATTTACATGCCAATGAAACTTGCTGAATGAATGGGTTCTTACTTCTTTAAGAGCCTGACAGAGTCACGACTAGGAGTACCTGTTTCTGTTTGTAGCCTTTAGGACCACAGACATGTTTTAGTTCTTCTTTAAGATGATTGTCAGAGGTTTTTCTTGAATGTAATATGGATTTTTTTTTTCCCAGATCTCCTACCCCTGCTGATCACAAAAACTGAAGAGTTAGGAGAATATTTCCTGTGCAGTAGTGTTATTATCTATCAAGAGTTATGATTAGTACGAAATGAGAACAGCATGTTTCTCAGACAGTGTTGACTTTAAGATACCATCTACCAGAGTTGTTGCTGACCTAGAAAAAGATAATAGTATTTAGGTCTCTGTCCTTCAAATGCCCAGGTTCAGAAAGTTGCTAAAAGTATGCTAAATGTTGCCTTTGGGCATATTCATGCTCCTATTTTTTTTTTTTTTTTGTCCTTTTAAGTTCTTAACAGAATTTTTGAATCACTCCACAGCCTGTACTGTGTAGGACTTTGGGCTTGCATCTGTTGAACTTGATGAGGTTCCTGTCAGCCTGTTTTTTCCAGTCTGCTAGTTCCCTCTAAATAACAGCCCTCCTTTACAGCATATAACTGTAGTTGCGGTTTAGCCCAGGTAGGCAGCTCAGCCCCACACAGCTACTTGTTCACTCCCCCGCAATGGATGGGGGCAGCATCAGAAGGCTGAAAGTGAGAAAACGTGGGGTTGAGTTAAAGACAGCTTGAGGAAAGCAAAATCTGTGTGTGCAAGCAAAGCAAACCGTGAACTTCCTGAGTTTTGTTAAGGACATCAAACAGTGTTGGCTCTGTCAGCCTGTGGGGACGTTGCTAGCAATCTTTACCCTGGTTGGACTTTTCTACTCACCTTGGTGGGAGAGTTTGCTAAAGTCAAGGTGTATGGCTTCCACTGATTTAACCTTGCCTGCACAGACAGTCTTCTTGTTGTAGAAAGCAATTGTGTTTGTCAGGCATGACTGGCCCTTGGTAAATCCATAGTGCTGTTCCAAATAATCCTCCTGTCCTTGTGCTTGAAAAGGGATTCCAGGAAGACTTGCTCTGTAACCTTCCTGGGGACTGAGGCTAGATTGATGGTCCTGTAGTTTCTCAGATCGTCCTTGAAGATGGGCATTAAAACTGTTTTTCTCTAGTCATCATGAACGTCCCCCAACTGCTGAATACTTTAGCCTATGAATGTATGGTAAGTATGCAAACCAAATACTGCCTTAATCTAATGCAAGATGCAACAGAAAAATACAATGCAGGAGTAATACTGACATTGTGTTCAGACAAAGTTCTTAAGACTTCGGGGTAGGAAGTCTTGATGTTTTAGGCTACTGTCAGACTGCACATAAGCTAGTTCAGATTCCGATCTGTGGAAAAAAAGTCTTGCAGCACTGTTCCCTGCAGGTGGTGTTCCCTGTTAGAGAAGATTATATATGGTAGAAATACAGATTGATTTGAAGATAGGCATTTGATATTATCTGAATTTACAAGTACAGTAAATGCTGTTTAGGGGACCTCTGGACCTCAAGAAACTACATTGATAGAGTTGGTCTTACATGATGTTTTAGATTTGTATTATTGACTTTCAAGGCCTTAAAACGTCTTTAGGGAAATGTACAGTGGTTACAATTTTAAAACTACATAAAATGCAGTTGAGTAGTAAGGTGTGTATGTGTTAGGGTTTTTTCTCATTTCTTGTGTTGGTTGTGTCTAGGAAGAGCTGATTCACTTGTGTCATGTCACTTTTAAACTGAAATAGTTGATTAGCAGGGAGAATAGGGGGTATCAACTCTTTATTTTAATTAAATGTTTACTGTGCTTTCACCAGGTTTATAATTCAGTTGTCCTTGCCCTGTATGTGGTCCTTGTAGCCTAACCCTCAGCTTTGTAACATCTAAGTGGCTGATCTATAAATAGATTATCTTGCATGAAATGTGGTATGCTTTGTCTTTAACTTTATCTGCAGTTTCGTGTGTAAGAAAATAAGAACAAAATGTTTTTAAATTTTCCTTTTGTCATGTACTTCAGGGTTTGTCATGGTAGAGGAAAAAGGTGTCCTTCTCTGAAGGCATTTTGCGCCTGACAATCTATTGCATTTTGTTTGGTATAAAACAGTTGTTCAAGTTGTAAAAGCAAGGATTGGAACATGATTTGGTTTTGAAATATGTTCAAATAGTGCCAAAGATGCTGCCTTTCCCAATATAAATTCTTGACAATTTGAGAAACATTTTTTTTATTTGTCCCTTCTCTCTGTTCTTTGCTCTCTCTTTTTTTTTTTTTTTTTTTTTTCCAAAGCTGTTGAGGTACACATTGGATAAGCACAGTCTGCAGCAGGTGAGGATCATAGCCAGCGATAGACTGTGGGAGCCCATTTCCTCTGTCTTGCTGCTTGACTCTGAGCTCCACGAAGTGGTCGATGTGATTGGGTAGGGGGTTCTCTCTCTTTTTTTTGTCTTGGTGGTTTGTTCAGTTTGTCTTCATCCTTCTTATTTATAACTAGCACAGACAAAGCTTTACCGCTATACTTTTACCTTCAATGAAAGGGTTGATACAATAATCTTTATTACTAACCTACATCAAATCGCATGGGCTGTTGTCCTGGTGACAGCCTCAACCCTTTAATTGAATCATGAGCGTCCTATCATGTGGAGTATTCCTACTGGTTGTGGTTGCACTTTTGATGAATTGAAGATTTTTTTTGGACAACCCAGTTTATCCTGAGGGTTGTTTTTGTTCCCGTATTTGGTATGCAAAAAGTGCTTTAGCTTTACAGTTTTGCATACAGCCTTGTATTAGACTTCCACTGGTCTTACAGAAATGGGTGTGATCCATTGTTAGTTACAATAATGTCTTGATTCTTAGTTCCCCTTTTTTTTTGATGGGAAGGTTGTGTTTGGAAAGCATTCAACCATCTGACTTGTTTTTCTGGTTCTGCATTTCATCATATGATGCTAATATTTTGCAAAAGTAATAGACTAAATCTGAGATTTGATTACTGACTTGTCTGCTGAATGGAAATGAGTATAAGACTTGCTCATTAACTTCTTTTTACAGTAACTCTAAATGTTAATTACTAGGTTCCATAAACTTGCCTGACCTAATCACAGGCTTCAAATGTGGCTGTTCCTTGCTTCAACTTCTTTTTCATTCATCTTTATATATCTAATCCGTAGGAGGTGTAGAAATGAAGGCTTTCCCTTCAAATATAGATAGGCAGTCAGTGTCCTCTGCCTCCCAATTAATCCCTCCCCCCATTCTGAACAAATAAAAGTTACAGTTTTTTTGCAAATGGAATCTTGAATCAACAAGTGGATCAACAAGTGAAAGCAATTGTGAAGTCTGACCCGATGCAAATCCACTCTAGTTACAATGATCCCAATGTAGTAAGCATGCTTCCTTTTTTTTTTTTTTTGTCAGCTTCAAGTATGCACCCAGAGTCAGTTCCTGAAGCTCAACTTTTTACACTCAGTAAGCTGTAGTCATGTAACTCTTTGCAAGTGTAAGTTTTATGTCACTACTCTGAGTCAAACTTAAGAGGGAGATGAAATACTCTCTTGTGTAATGGATAATTGGTTGGCTACTGGACATTATGGTGCACGTTTCATCATGATATCTCTAAAAAAAAAATGTTGGCTCTTTATCTGAAACTATAAAAAATATTTCAGATAACCAGGATTTTACATGAATGTACATAAAATCAGTTTTGGATTTAATAACATGATTTGTGATCTGTAAGGTCTCACATCAGACAAGCTGGATGGGAGATTAGTTGAAGCTGTTGCTTTTGATTTATTTTGCACTATTTGCATGCAGGCTTCATCTGCAAGATATTTAATAACTAGAAATTAGAGGGAGCCCTGAAGGCACAATGTAGAACTATTAATAGATGTTCACCCATATAGGAATGACCTAGGTCAACAAAGCTCTTTATAATGTGGTATTTCCAAGCAGCTTTTCAGAGCTATTATGGTTACATCAATTTTACCAGTGAAATGAAATATAATGAATTATAAAAAAGTATTACTCCTACTTTGAACACATTTAAATTACATTGTAGCTCTTGAAAGCAATGCTTTTCAAGGATAGGCTTGCAAATTCCATGGTTACTCATTGTAGTACTTTATATGTGCTGCTGCTTTGTAACACAGTTAAACCAGTTAGATTTTTGAATACTATACAGTTAGAGACCAAGTTATTGTGACTCTACATGTTGAAAATTACCCCCCTGCCCTGCGTCTTCCTGCTGTTAACTGAAAGAAAATAGGAAGTGTTTAGAAAGCATCAGTGAGTTTAGTGGTAATAACTTTCATTTTCACCTGATATAAATTTAGTATGCTGTTAGGTGACAACTCAGTCTTTCTGGTTAGAAACATCAGTGTTCTTAACCAGATCTGTTCTAAACACACACTTGGCTGAATATGCGTGTCACAGAAAACCAATACTTTCTCCTTTTAAAGAAATTTGTTAGACCTGTTTATACCCGAGTTAACAACCTAAGAAAAATTAGATGATATTGTGACACTACTGCATGATGAAATCATGATGTGGTGCCTGTAGTAGTGGGAATTCAGACTGTTCCAAGTGCCTCCCAGACCTGTGTGCTGATACAGAATGAGAAGTAGTTTGTCAGCTGATGATTTCTGTTTTCTAGACATGTTTCCGAGAACTAGAGTTTGAGGTTTTCATAGGTAGTGCTTTTGTGCAAAGCTTCATTGTAGTCATGGTATTATATAGGCTGATCTTTTTTAAGATTTGTTTTATTTCTACATCCTTGTACTGATGCATGAGAGAAAAATGGTGGAAAAACCTGCTATGTCTATTCTGATTTTTTTTTTTTTTTTTTTTTCCCCTTTCCTCCCCTTTGGGCCATTGCTATATGCAAAATAAAAAATAGCACAAAGTGTTAGAAAACAAATGAACAAAAAAAAGTTAGTCAAAAGAAGTCACTGTGGGGAATTGTGTAAAGCAGCATTTGAAATCCATAAATAGAAGAGGTTTTCTTAATGCTACTTTCTTAATATGCCTGGTCTAGTTTAGCTGCCCTACACAGGCAACCGTGTTTTTTTTTCCCCATTGGAGTTACATTGCTCCTTCATCCGCTATGTGAAACACACTTAATGTCATAATAGTTAATATTTTAAAATACTTTGTTACCACTCCGTCAGCTTAGTCATGTCTTAATTTTTAAGGAGTAATTTAATATTAATGAAAGTAAACTAAAGCCCCTTGGTTAACTGCAGTGTGAAAAGCAAATACACTGTAAATTGTGTTCAGTAACAGAAATTGCATCTAAGAGCAGAGAAAAATTATTCATTTCTCAACTAGTAGTGAAACTGTTTTATTTGACCGCGTACCAGTGGGGCAAAGTAAATATTTTTAAGTGTGTAAGCTTTAAGTGGAGCAAAGTTGCAATAAAGACACGCCAAAGGAGTCTGTCTCTAGAACTTCTTTGTTCTCCCTGTAACTTTAATCCTGTTTATTATCCCTGCTTTTTTCCAATTGCTTTAGTGACCTTGCATTGAATTATTTCTCTTCCCTTTTATGCTAAGGCAATCTTCTGTCTCAGTACAGGAAATCAGAGCTCTCTAGATGTTGTTCCTGTTTAATCATATGTCAAGTTCTCTGTAGCACACCCCCCACCCCCATTTTTTTTCTCTTTCTTTTTATAAAGTACAGCTTATATTTGACAGGGATGTTGACTCTTAATATTTAAGAAACAGCCCTTCAGAATATGGAGTGTAGAAAGACAAATTATTATTTCTTTGCCTTCTCTTTTCAAGCTACAGGCTTTATGCCGTTACAAAAAACTTTGCTTGGTATTCAGGTAATAGTTGTGTTTCCAATCCAAAGGGGAAATATACGGTAATCTGTACAGCACAGAAAGATGTGGCTAAAATCTCTACTATCTGTTTACATTGTTATTACTGAAGTTAAGTATGAAGGAGTACAACACTGGGAAGTGGCCCATTGTCCAGTAGAGGAAAAATAATGCAGAAACCAAAAAACAACAGTCAGCCTAGAAAACCTGGTATTTCTTGTGTCCCTGTCACAAATTTATTAATTTGTCAAGTTTCAGGCTAATAGTAAAGGAAATACTTATGCCTTCCTTTTGAGTGATGATAGTTTCATTTTAGTGTATATATGTGTTCAATGAGTGTGCTGAGGGAGGCAAAAATCATGACCTGTGTTCTACAAGTGATTTTGAAAGGTTTTGTTTCAGTCAGACTAATTTGGCATAGTGAATCAATGTTCTGATTGAGTATAATCGGTGATCTTCATTTGGGAGAAAGCATCTCTCCTCATACTAAGGAAGATCTTGGAAAGAAAATTAACTTTCATTATATGTTTCACCTATTTTCACTTTACACTTCTAACTTCTGTAGTCCAACTAGCATGCCTTTTTGAAACCTGAGTTTATTACAATGGTGTGCAATATTAGGCAGGTTCATTTTTAGGACTTAAGACATTCATGCGGTTAAGTTATTTGAATAATGCCTAGTACTGTATGTTACTGCTGATTTTATAATTATTTACAGTTTTGTTTAAGATACTGCAAAGCAGTGTGTATTTTCTCAATTTAGCACACTAGAGTTAAAAAAAATCTTCAAGCTCAATTTCAGGTTAAAGCTTTGCTTTAGCAAGCTGCAGAAATTGCACGATATTTTTAAAGCTAAGCTTACTTATATGTTGGCATGTATCAGAAGAAACAGTCTTCTACTGATACAAATACAATAACCTACAGAATATTGTAGCACACTCTAGTTCCATTTTCTTCTATTCCATTAATATTATTCCAAAGAAAGTTTGTTTTCATTTTCAATTTGGAGGAGGGAAATCGCTGCTGCTGTTTGTACTTCCAGGCTTTGATTTTTCTATTTGTGATAAGTGCTTTTTCTTTTTAAAATTTTCTGTAGGGCTCACTATCCTGGAACAAAAACAGTGCCAAATGCCTTATTAACTAAGAAGAAACTGTGGTCTTCCGAAGATTACAGTACTTTCAATGATGAAGTAGGTGCAGGCTGCTGGGCTCGAATCTTGAACCAAAACTACGTAAACGGAAACATGACATCGTAAGTGTTGTGTACCATTGCTCACTTTCACAACTTCATGTGTAAGAATTGTTTAAAGTACTATCTAACACATCTGTCTGCTGTGGCAAGATGGGAGGTAAACTCTCCACTGTCAGTCTGAAAAGATAGTGAGGTATGAAGTGTACTGTCCTTACCTCTTTCTGGTGTAGAAGTCCCACAAGCTTTAATGTATTCTTGAGTTACTGTTCCACAGTATCTGACAGTTTATGCAGAGTTCAGATGCCTTTGAGACTGAAGATATTTGTTAAAAAGAGAATGTTCTTAAGAAGAGCTAACAACGTGAAAAACATCGGAGGAAAATAACAATAAAGCTAACTTATCTATTTTTCTTAGGGTCTTTATGAGGCTGTATGTCTTCAGTTAAAGGTAGTAGGTGTGGATGTCATGATCTAGTTTTTTCCATGCAACTTCTTTCTCGGAGTCCTTCCTAAAACTTGCCATAGTCTTTTGATATGTTTACTGTTTCCTGCACATTTTCTTTCCAAACTGATATCCGGAAGAAAGCTGTTCTATTTATTGGGAAATTACATAACTTGCAATTTTAGAAGAGAATAGAAAATATACTTCAGTGTTCCCAGTGCAACAACTAGTAATCTGAGGGGGAAAAAAAAAAAAGGACGTTTCTTGAGTCACCTGGTTTCAACGAATCTTGTATCTCCTTGTCTCATCTACATGAAACAGCAGAGCAGCATGCGAGCTTTTGCTTTCCACGTTACTGCTTTATTAAGCTGTGGCACACAGGTCTTATGTTTAAGGTCCTAGCAAAAGATTTTCAGTGAAGGCCAAATCAAAAGACCTGAAGTAATTAAACTTGTTAGTATCCTGACAACTTCCTGAAATGGCAATATCTCCTGGAAGATGGCTGGTTAGAGTTGGTTTCTGTTTGTTGTTTCTATGGATAAAGGAAGGATTATTTTTCTTAGTGTAAATTAACTGCTCCCCCAAGCCCATCCCTCCCCAAAAAACCCCTATCACCAGCAACAACCAACCAACCAGAAAAACCCAACACCCCAACAAAAAGTTGTAAACACTGATAACTTAATTTTTTCCCCTTCAAAACAGTAAAAAACCCCAAACAAATGGAGTCTTTAACCCTCAGGACACATTTCCTTTAATGTGCTACGTTTTATGGTGATATAGCCAGAGAATGCATTACCACTTTTGTAAGAAGTTCAAAAAATTAGAAATTGATTTAGTTTATTATCCTCTGATGTGTTTTTTTTTCTCCTTTATCTGGAAAGATTTTTTTTTTTGTTTAAATTTATTTTTTTCCTTAAAATTCTTTTCATTGTGTGCTGGAGAAAAAAAGAGGAATAAATTCTTGTACTAAATTTATCTAATAGTATCCAGATCCAAACAAAACTGTTTTTCTTCCAGAACCATTGCATGGAACTTGGTGGCTAGTTATTACGAAGAGTTGCCCTTTGGTCGATGTGGATTAATGACAGCACAAGAGCCATGGAGTGGCCACTACAGAGTAGAAGCTCCTATTTGGATTACAGGTAAAAGGTTTGAAGTTAGCAGCTTGGTGATCTAACACAGAGCATAACTGTATTTTCTAAGGCCTTTATTTATTTAATGGCTTTAATGTGCATCATTTTTTTTTTGTACCACATTAAAGTAGTTTTGTGGAAAGTTTTGTGAATACTTTAAAGAAAAAGGAAAAAAAAATCCCTTCAATATAAAGCAGAAAGATCTAATAGCAAGGGAAATCTTAATTGTTGACTGTTAGATACAGCAGAAGTTAATAAACTACTGCCTTTTATAGCTGCTTTTATTAAAATACTTTGATCTAAAGTGCTTGTAAAGGTTAGTGTGCTTTCCTAGTTCCTTCCCCTCTTCTTTTTTTAATCCTTAAGTAGACATTTGATACCTCTCAATTTGAGAAAATGGAATAAAGAACTTCTGAGTTTTTGTCCTGCTTGGGATTCTTGTCTTGTGTAAGCTAACGTTTCCTCGTGCTTGGGGAAAGGGCAGTATGTTCACATTGGGCCTATGAGCACAGGGATTCACTGGCTTCTCTGTAGTCCTTCTGTAATATTGTACTGTCTTTGCCACAGTTCAATAGAACAAGTATTGTATGCAGTGCCATAAAGGAGGAACAAGGCAAATGCCCTAGTTTTTATTCTTCTGCTAGTTAGCTGTATATGTAAAAGCAATTAAAAAAATGGCCGTACTGTAATATGAACAGTTCAGAGCAACTGAGCAGTTGTTTATGTTTCCATGTTGCTAAGGATATTCATGATCTAGGTCATATTCTTCTTTGGTACTTTCACTGAAAACTTAGTTTTTCCTTAGTTATGGAGATGCCAGTCTATGCTTTCTCTGGCTCAAGTGTTTATTTAAAAAAAAAAAAACAAACCAAACCAAAACAAACAAACAAACAAACAAAAAAAAAAAACAAAACAAAAAAGAGTTGGGAAAATCTAAACTGTGATTAATATTCAGATTCCATGTACCATGATTGACTTATATAGCGGTGTAATAATTTTTTTCCTTTCTAAATAATAGCCATCATTTTAATTGTTTTGTCTGCCACAGAGCTGATATTTTTAATTGCACCTTAGCATAATTCTTTAATCTTCCTTCTTGCATAGGTAGAATTTGTTTTGGAAGTTCCATTACTTTCCAAAATCAAGTTTTTGTTATGTAAGCATGTATGAGAGAGAAATCTAATTCAGACTACAAATGATATTATTTTTTCTAAGACTTAATTATTTTCTTCTGATTTTTGTTCTATTTTGTCTCAGCACACACAACACAGTTTACTCAGCCGGGCTGGTCATACTTGCAAGTGGATGGACACTTAGAAGGAGGTGGCAGTTTTGTAGCTCTGACAGATGGCCTAGGAAACCTTACAATCATCATTGAAACCATGGTACGTGTGTCAGTGATTCCGATGAACTAGAAAAGATAAAGGAAATGTTTTGCTATGAAGAACCTGTTTTGATTTACGTAGTTCAGTATCTGTGAATATGTTCTTTGATGCTTGAGGTTTTGTTAATGAGAGTGCTAGAGGTCTCTTTTTTTCTCTCTGAAATTTGAATAGCTAGTTGAATCTTCCTGGAGGTCAATGTATATGTCATCTTTATATCACAAATTAGCTTTAATTTGATGACACGCTCTGGGAGGAAATTAAATCACGTGCTTTTTTTTAAAGCAGTATTAAAAAGAAAATTATTAAGCTAGTATAATTGCAGCTATTAAGATAAGAGTGAAATAAATAATTGCAAATTGATCCTATGTTGCTTTTTGTTGCTTTTTTAATTTCAATTTATGCTCTATGTTTTTCATGAACATTGCTGTGTGATGCATTCCAGTAATGTATGTTCCTTCTGTTAAATTTATTTTTTTCTTCAGACTCATAATCACTCTCAATGCATCAGGCCTCCACTGCCTCATTTCAGTGTGACACCTCAGAAAGCAACTTTCTACCTCAAAGGGTCGTTTGTAAGTAGATCTTGAATATAATTCATCAGTCTTGTAAAATGAATTGCTATCCATAATCAAATACATGCAAGACAGTATCACAGGTTAGCAAGAAATAGGAATTCTTTACCTCCAATATTAGAGGCTGTTACACACCTGGCAAAGTTTTAAGCATTCTTGTTCTCCTTTTACCATGAGATGTAATATCATAACTAAATTCATAGAATTACTGCCTCCCAGCCAATCATCTGTATATTGAAGAAGAAATTCCCTGGAACAGAAACACAGTTGGGTATTCCAAGTGTGCTCTGACATGCTGACATAGTTTGACTGGTCAGCATGGCTGTGACCTTTCTAGTTGTTACCAGATACTTTCCCGGGGAGTAAGTGCTGTTGATGGTATACTGTAGGTTATGTTGTTCCATCCTCTGAAGAGATATTCTGAGAATCTCCGAGTTCTTTTTTTTTTTTTTTTTAGGGTTTTTTGGTTGGTTTGTTTTTTAAATCTTGTTAAACTGACTTTCCCTCAGAAATGTGAACAACACTTTCACAGTGTAAATTGGAGTGAATCTTTGTTAGTTGATTTGGATGATTGCTTCTCAGAAGCTGAAAGTGTTTATTTATTTGGAATTTGATTTTTGGTGGCATTAGTTTCCTTTCATTTAGGAGGAGATAGTTTGGAAAATACTTTTAGCAATAAAATGGTTTGCTTAAGAAAAGTAGTTGAACATCACTTCTAATGTACAGCTCCCTTTCAGGGAAGTATTGGACAGTTTATCCAAACCATACTCTAGGTTGCTTCTTTGTTGTTCATCTGAGTAACTAAAAAAAAATTGCAGGGGTTGGATATAATTAAAATCTGTAAGTAATGTAGTTGATATGCCATAGTATCACAGAAGTTTGGAGATCTGTAGATGAAGTACTTTGCTCAAAACTGAATATCAAAGAACTAGCAACTAAACTAAAGGTCTCATTAAAGCAAAATTAGCAGGAGAATATTTAAGCCTGGTTGTTCCCAGGCAGAGAGCTTGTATCAAAGGAATACTGTTGTTGCTAGTAAAGAAGCTAAAGATTGCATGTGTGATTGCAATGCTTTCTGTTTTTATAAGCAACATTACTACATGTTAGGACAATGGCTTATTGATGTATAATCTGTAAAAAGATAAATCATATGTAATGGCTAGCTGAATAGAGTGGTGGCTTCTAATGTGATTAACAGCTCTAAAATAACAGTAATTATACACCTTTAAAGGAATGATATTTTTCAGGATGAATATTTAAGGGGATTTTTGTTTTTTTTTTCTTTTTTTCTTTTTTCTTTTATTTTTTTAAATTTTATGTTGTGTTTCATTGTAGTATTTGGTGGAAACCCTTCAAGTGTGGTATTCTAGACTTGGTTTTGAATCTGGAAACTCTAGCCTTTTTCAGCAACTCCATCCTGTAAAGGTAAGTTGATCAGTATCAATTACAGTCTCTCTGATATTTCAGGTGTTTCTTTCCCCTTTTCTGGAACTCCTGGACTTTCATGCCTAAACTGCACGATTAGGGTGTGTTTTATTAGCTCTGTCTGGCTACAGTTTTACTAGCTTTATATAGGCTTCTCTGGAGGTAATAAAGAGTTTGAGAGAAAGGGTTTTTTGAAGTAGCTTAGAGATGGTAAGGGCTGGGGCAAGAAGACAGGATTTTTGCATTAAATCGGTACTTTAGGCAATCTTCTTTAATTCAGGAGCTTGAGTATTTTGGAATTTAGTTGTTTTATTTTTACAGCTTGAGCTTTCTTTAATTCCAGGTGTGGAAGGGAAGTTTTTCTTTAGATCTAAATGTGGATGAAGTCTACACTTTAACCACACTCAAGACAGGGCAGAAATGTGGTTACCCAGAGCCTCCACCACCTCAGCCCTTTCCTTCAAATTACAAAGATGATTTCAATATTCGTGAGTCAGAATTCTCTTATCCAAAAACTTGATTCGCACACAGAGTCTTAATGTAGAAAGGCAATAACAATTATGAGTCTTCTAATATAAGTGACATGAAGTAGTTTGAATATGTGCTTTGTTTTTGTTTGTTTATACCTGCTTCTCCAACAACTTACAGCTGTATACTTCACTTGCAATGAGATGTATTGAATTCTATGTTTTAACTGGGTGGTCACTAACAGTTTTAAAATTCTTGATGCCAGTGATATACCTCATAACTATAGTGAACTAGTTTTTGGAAGGAAGATAAGGGAGAAGGTAGTTTTACTTTGTTCATGTGTTTGAAAAATCTGGAGTCTCCTTAAAAACAAAACCAAAAATAAACTCACCTTTCAACTCTCAAAACTTCCGTTTTGGAGACTGTGCTTTGATAGAGTAAGACAAAATTGTGAAGAATATTGTCAGGAGAAGTCTCTGAAAACAAAAGTACACAGAAGAAAAATAATGTTTGATGTTGATACGGATTTTATTTTCTGAACAGGTGATCCACCTTTCAGTGAAGCCCCAAATTTTGCAGATCAAACAGGTGTATTTGAGTACTTCATAAATGTTTCTGACCCCGGAGATCATGTGTTCACACTCCGCCAGGTGGTGGTTCAACGACCCATCACTTGGGCTTCTGATGCAGACCAGACCATCAGTATCATAGGAAATTTTCAGTGGTATGTAAATACTATTTTCTAGTGATATCTGGGGAAATTTCCTCCTTACCAGTGTGAGTTATGATCAGTTAATCTGTCTCAAGCCTCATTTCTCTTGGACAGAGAACTTTTACATTCAGACTCTCTGTAGACATGTAGAAATGATGACTTAAAGGGACTTTTAAAAGTAATTGAGACCTGTTTAGGGCTAATGGCAACTGTAAGAGGTCAACCATGCCTTTGTCTATATGAGTTTTAAAAACATCCAAGGATGGAGAGTCTACCACAGCTTCTTGGGAGCTTAGCCCACTGCTGCGCTCCCTTGGAAATTTTTTTTCCTAATGTGCTGATGGGCATATTTGTGCTGTGCATATTTTCTGTTTTTTCAAGATAATGGATCTGGGTTGGCATACTAGAAAGACTAAGTCAAAATCCCAATTCAGATTGTGCACTGAGGTTTCAGTATGTTTTTAAATGGGACAAAAAAAATTCATTCTGTTTAAATTACTTAGTTTTGAGTTGTCTTGCTTGATTGTTAGCTATTTGATCAATCTCATATCAATGAAATAGGCTGGGAGTTAATTCAGTTATATTTGCTGCAGACTGCCATCTACTGAGCAGTTCCTAGAATTGTGTGGATTTTATTCAACTGTTACTTAAAACAGTTTAATTTCTGGGTAAACGTAACTGAGATTTACTGATTTGATAAGAGTATGGTTATGACTGAAATTCTTCTGGGAGATATAATGATGGTAATTTGGGATCAAGCAGCATATTTTAGCATAATGCTTATTTAAAATTAAGAACTATTTGGGAAAGAGCCTATTAATTAATTGGTTTAGTAGTAGTAAGTATTAATAAACTATATGCTTAAAACTTTTTCTTATATTTAGAAGTCTAGTTTAAATTCTTTTGATGTTCTCTTTAAAATAGTTATTCTGTCAGGTTTTTTTCACTATTTGGATCATCGATCCTCCAAGTTCTTTTTCAGAATGTGCTTCATGCTTCTAATTTCTGGCCTGGACAAGTGATTGAATCACTTTGCTCTGAAGCCTGGAATAATATCACCATCTTGTGGCTGGAGATTGTTCTTCCGTTACCTTCTTTCTTCTTCTGCAGCCCCCTGTTAAGCAAAGTCTTGTATTCCCCCTGTAATCAACTTTCTTTTATTGAGTAGATCATATTCAGTGATCCCTATAAGAGCTACACAAGATTCTTAAATTACAATACTGAGATTCCTAAAAGCTTCCTATTATTTAATTTTGATTCCCTTTCTTTTTCAATTTTTATCTTGTTTTCAGAACCAACCTTGCTTCTTGAATATTCAGCTGATAATTCAGGTTACTGATCTGTATCTTTTTGTAATGATAATCCTCGATTTCAGGCCCTCTGATTTGTTTGATTCATCCTCAGTTTAAGGCTCATCTTGTCCTAGGAAGATGTTTTCAACCATTAGTGCATGCTGTTGAAATACTGAATCAATCTTGTACCGAATTTCTCTGTGGAATGATATTTTACTTCAGTCATCAATGACAATTTATTATGATTAAACTTCAGGTTTACTTAGTTGATTTTAGTTTGGATTTTAATCTTGTGCTTGTGAAATCTTTTTGTTTCTACTCCTGAATTTGTTAGTGTTTTGTTCTGATGGTTTTATTGAGCCTAACTGTATACTGAAAATATTACTGTTTAACTCATTCTGCATTGCTTCTTATCACTTTTATAATGGCTTAAGCAAGGTGTGGGGGTCACTAGTTTTAATACCCAGGGAAACAAGAAAGAAATCTTGTTTGTGTCATGAATATGTATCCAAGAATCTGATACTTCTGATAGCATTACATTAGAATGAAATCTCAGGTCGTTATTATTATGAAAGAGGTGGAGAGAAGAGTTGATAAAATATTCTTTACTATTTAGTTATCAGCTGAGCTGATGTCACAGAGAGTCTTTTCATGCTCTGTAAGTAATTATAATTAGAAACTTCCTAAATATGCGACCTTGTGGCTGTATACATATTGCAAGTTCTTTCAGACATGGCTTGTAGATTTTTTTTATTTGAATGTACATTAATAGAGGTAAAGAATGCCTTTAATTTTTATTATTAAGAGGCTTGTAATGCAACTTTGGGGTGGAGGAAGTTGTATAAATTTCCTAGGTGCCATTGACTGTTCTGGTATTCCTTTGCTTTGTTCTCCTCTACAGCTGTCATTATATGTATAACATGGTGCTTTACTGTTGAGCTGAAGTATCACCTCAGGAAAATCAAATAATTTCAACTTATTTGAATGTTTTGTTTTAAAAAGTTTGTTTTGGCTTTTGGGTGAGAGGTCTGGATTACTTAAGACTTGTCTGGTATTAAAAATCTTAGAAAAATCATAGAATGATTCCACTAGATCAGGTTGCTCAAAGCCCTGTGCAGCCTGGCCTTGAACGCTTCCAGGGAGGTGGCATCCATAAATTCTCTGGGCAACCTGTGCCACTGTCTCACCACTTTCACAGTAAAAAACTTCTTCCTTCCATCTAATCCAAGTCTATCCTCTTTCAGTCCCTCCCCTTCTTTCCTGTAGCCCCCTTTAAGTACTAGAAGGTTGCTATAAGGTCTCCCTGGAGACTTCTCTTCTCCAGGCTGAACAACCCCAGTTCTCTCAGCCTGTCCTTATAAGAAATGTGCTCTAGCCCTCTGATCATCTTTGTGGCCCTCCCCTGGACCTGCTCGAGCAGGTCCATACCCTTGTTATGTTGGGGGCCCCAGAGCTGGACACAGGACTCCAGGTGGGGTCTCAAGAGAGTGGAGTACAGGGGGAGAAACCCCTCCCTTGACCTGCTGGTCACACTTCCTTTGATGCAGCCCAGGATACAGTTGGCTTTCTGGGCTGCGAGTGCACATCACTGGCTCATATTCATTTTTTTCATCCCTTAATACCCTCAAGTCCTCCTCAGGGCTGCTCTCAATCCGCTCATCAGTCAGCCTGTATTTGTGCTTGGTATTGCCCTCACCCGTGTGCTTTAACTTGGCCTTGTTGAACTTCATGAGGTTTGCCCAGGCCCACCTCTCCAGCCCGTCCAGGTCCCTCTGGGTGGCATCCCTGCCCTCCAGCGTGTCGACCGCATCACACGGCTGGGTGTCACTGGTGAACTTGCTGAGGGTGCCCTCAGTCCCACTGGCCGTGTTGCCATGTTAAAAAGCACTGGTTCCAACACCGACCCCTGAGGAACACCACATGTCACTGCTTTCCACTTGGACATTGAGCCACTGACCACAACAAAGATGAAATTTAGGAGATGTGGTGCTATGACCTTGAATCTTAGATTTGATTTGATTTTGAAGTTGCTGACAATACACTTCATCTTGTTGTGGGTTTCTGAGAAGAATTGCTCTTTGTAAGAAAATCTATGGACACACGTGTGGGAAACAACCAGTCTAGACAAGTCCTGTGCATCTCACATATGTAGGTCACAGTTAGAATTGAGAAGTCTTTCCTCAAAAAGGTTGCTGTACTACATAGGAAATATTCTTCTACCTACTGCCTGCTCAAAAAAATCAATTCCTTGCTTCTTAAAATACTGTACTTTTACAGGGTAAACATGACAATCACTTGTGACATCTACATAGAAAAACAACGTGATGGGGGCGTGTTTATTGCAGGAAGAGTCGACAATGGTGGAATATATGTTCGACGTACCAAAGGAGTTTTCTTCTGGGTTTTTGCAGATGGCACCTACAGAGTCACTGGTGACCTAGGTAAGCAGCTCTTTGCTAAAGTGGGTGCTGACATATGGACATGTAATTTTGATAGCCTTGATAAGAATGACTGACATGCAGATTTTGTAACTTGGTTGTCATCACTATGAATTTAACCCATTGTGCTCTAATGATGGCCACATCTGGTATGTGAAGAGAGCATCTGAAGGCTACTAGCTCGTCCACTTCTCTCTCAGCTTTCTGGATTTTTGTTTTTTCTTCTGATAAAAACCTGTTTTGCAAATGTAAATTAATTTTCTTTTCATAAATACTCTGATACAATGTTAATTACAGAAAGGTTTGATCTGTGTTCTTATACTACATCTAAAAAGAAAATCGTGCTTGAAATGCAGTGGCCCATCTTGTAGAGTGGTGCAAGTCCATGTACATACATCTAGCTTAGGTGATAATGATGAGTGGTCTACTGTTTCCACAAATTATGCATTTTACTGTTAGTCTAGCTCAGTGGAGTGAGGGCATATTCTAATTGTGATGCTAACGTTCATATGTGTTCATTTATAGAGCACTTGACAGGCACATAAAAGAGTCTATGTCATAATACTTCATCAATAGCGAAAAGCTCTTTTTAATTTGTTTAGAAATAGTGGCAGATTTAGTTGTTTAAATGCATTTCCTATCACTTCATGAGTGTAAATTAAAATTTCCAGTAGTTTCTGATGAGTCAAACTTCAACATCTACAGTGTATCTGATGTGAAGACAGCCTGGAATGACCCATTTTACACTCTCCTGGACTTAAAAATAGTCTCTTCTATTTGGTAGCTGTAGTTCCTCATTTCACCTAATTTTTTTTTTTTTTTTTTATTTTATTTTTTACCATGGATGGGTAGCACAGAGAAGGCTTTACAGTATCTTCTCTTAACATACTGCTGTTCCCTAGGGAAACTTTGCAATGTCTAACTGCACATCAACTTAAGTTTCAGCTGTATGTAAAAACATACCCATGTTTAGGATTGACTCCAGTACTTATGTTTAATAAGACATGACAGCATTACCCAATTAGGTTCTCAGGCTGTCAAAAATAATTTTTCCTAGATGAAATGAGAGGATTTTGAATAACCATCTCATTATTTCAGACTGTTACAAAATATGATAATTTTTTTCTATACAGCTATTTTCAGTGATCTCTATATTTTTCTAGAAGGGAGGCTGAATGTTAAATTAACTTGCAGCTAAAACAGTCTACTGAGTAATTGAAGATTGTACTTTCAGAACTTAATTTTTTTTTCAGATCTTCCATGCAGGTGTCAGTCACACCCAATTTTTTCTTATTGTGAATTTTGACTAGAACTAAGCAACATGATGATGTAGCAATTCAGACCCTCTGGCTTAATGTTCCAATACATAAACAAGGAGATCTATAAAACAAACAGAACAATAGCTACTGTCACGCTTCATAAACCCATACACTCAATAGAGGGAATCCTTATCTCAGTCCAAATTCCTAAGAGCATTGGAACTTGCAGTGGAAAAACAGTCTTGGGAAAACAGGAGAATGCATGGATAATGTAGAGTCCAGGTTTGTGTGTTAAGCCTTCCGTGCTGCAGTTGAAATTGGTAAGATGACAGTCTTGAACACTTCTGAAAAATAGGTTTTAGTTTCCCTTTGCTGGCTTGGTATTTATCTATCAGTCTCAGCAAAGGGATGAAGTAACACTTTACTAACCTCAAGCATGTTTTGCAGCTGGAGAAGAAATATTAATGAAAGGACTTTCTGGTGTCCGGGATAACGCATGGCACACACTTACTCTCAACATTCAGGTAAGGGCACAGGCAAAAAAAGCGAGAAGACCAGTTATGACACTTCCAGTCCTAAATGGTTTAGACAAAACTATGCTATACTATTGTCTACTTGGATTAGTTTGCCCTGTCTGAAACTTAAATAATATCTCCGTTATTTTAACCCAATATTAAAATACCGCACCAAGTTCTGCTGTTTGTATTTTTAAAAGATCTTGAGAAACTGGGAGAGAACATAGAAAATAACTGGAAGGATGATTTGAAATCTGGAGATAGGAGGGCTAGAGGGGTAAATCTTTTGATTAGTCTGATGAAAAGATCATGACCTGACTCCCTGTTCTGAAGATTGTCAGTAAACTGCTAACTAGCCTGTTTTACAAATCTGTCTCCCACCAGTTCCCTTTACATGCAAAGGGCCTGCATGTGGAGCTAGTTAAGGACTAGGGAACTCAGATGAGCCATCATCCTTCTTTCCTATACTGACAGAGCACTGATGTAATGTTTCTGTAAAAATGGGCCACAGTTAATGAGAAGTCTGTCTACGTTTTTCCCTTCCCCTCTACTCCATTCCTTTTGGCCATAGCCACTTGGTGAGGAAAGTAGTCCCAAGCTCTACTTTAAATATACCTGTACACTTAGATAGGTGTGACATGGGTGCAAGTAGCTAAAAGGCTTTAAGTCCCTCTATTGAATGCCTCTTCGCTTTGCATAACATAACCTTTGCAACTGTAATATAGCCTGAAATGTGGGGAAGCTTGAATCCTAGCTGGCAGGATCTTCTACTGAAGCAAACTTCCTTTTAAAATTACGCGCTAAGTCTTTCTGTCATCCTGAAATGTCAGTGAGGATTAGAAGCTGTTTTTTGTCTTTTGTGCTTGTTTCCCAGTGTGAAAAAGGGATGCTTGTACCCGAGGCATTCACTGGAATGGATGTAGTTTAGTTTTGGCTTTTGTACATCCACATGTGACAGGGATTGCCGTCTGTAGAATGGGCCAAGACACTTGCTAACGTGAATGTGGTGTTGAAGATGAACATAAATAATTTAAAATACAAAACAGTGGTAATTTTAAAATGATGATGTTACAAATTTCCATCTATGCTGTTAAAGTATTTTGTACCAAATATGTCCTTGATGTAATGAGAGAACTGCAAAGCCCTCCTTAAAGAATTAACATGGTGACTCCTTGAAAAGCATTCTTTGCTTTTACCTGTGTCTGGAACTGTCTTTCAGATTAAGAAATACAAGTAAACTGAAGTGTTGGTTTTTCTAAATACAGTTTAGTTGGAACACTAGCAAGACAAATTTTAACTTTTCCTGAAACTTTATCATTTTAATGGCAACATGATATTTGAAAGTTCTGCTGTCCCCTCTTCCTCTCAGCTTAATGACTAAAATACATCTCTTTCCTTTTGACTTTTTTGTAATTCTGCAGAATCAGTGACAGGTGTATCATATCCCCTTAAGACAGTTGTTCTGTTTGAGGGAGCCTGGCCCAAGTGGAAGAGGAAAACCAGCTTACCTTTCAGATTCTACACTGTTCGCAAAGCTGTGAGTTAGGGGACGATGAGCCTTTTATATATTCATTGTAAAGTCATTAGGTCTGTTTCACAGAGCTGATAGGCACTGAAGGATTCTGTGCAATATTCAGAAGCACATCTGCATGAAAATGTGTGAAATACAGTTGAAAGTTGACTTGACATCTTTCTGCTTGACATCTATCTTGTCTCTTTTCCCATGTGAATAGGCTCAGTGTCATCACAATCACTGGATTTTACAAAGCTAACTTTTTCATTTATTTGACAGGGCACTTCTACGTCAGGACTGCTAAATGGTTATCCACTCTGGGAGAATGTCACCATTTCTAAACCAAGTAATGGCTGGGCTGCAATTGGAACTCATTCGTTTGAGTTTGCACAGTTTGACAACTTTCATGTTGAAGCTAGCTGAGGTGGCTTCGGCGTTTGGAGTACCCAGTTCTCATATTACTTTGAATAAGAGCCAGTTCAAACTTTGAGGACAACTTGATGCTATGCTGAGGTTGATTTGCTGGCAAGGAACCTGAATTCTGTCCTTATTATTTGTTAAAGGTTTACTTTAGTAGGTATCAACTTGACTGTAACTTTATCCCCTCGTTCCATGGGATTTTTGTGGGTAAATTTTAGTTCAAGGTAATTATGAAAACAAAATCATGAATTTAAATCTCTTAATAATATCTTAACTTCCCAGCTCACTTTTAAGATAACTTCAGAAGTTAACAGAAGACAGAGGCATCTCAAGCTGCATTTTTAACACTTACATGATTGTGTCCATTCCTTTCACTCTGAAAGAATGAAATGCCAGTAAGCCTTATGAGCCAGTGGCCCCATGCTTTTGTAGGTCTGTCATTCTCAAATTTCACTTGGATGAAGTACCTAGTTTTTCTGTAGTTAAAAAAAGATGTTTTGTCTGTTTTTCTGTTACAGTCTGAGTCTAGAGATTGCAATAATCCAAGAGCATTTGATTACTTCTTCCTGATGACTTGTTCCAACTTTCATTGCCAGCCCTAAAATAGATCACATTTTCAGTGGGATGGAAATGTGACTTATGGCTGATCAGGCAGTGCAGGATGTGCCTTACTTCTAAACTACCTCCTCTATCCAATGAAAGGGTTAAAATGGATGAAAAGATACCATAACTTGTCACTACTGGTAGCCTTGTGGGTTTTTTTGCATGATGCAAAGAATGAAAACTTTGCATCATGGATGCTGGCAAGCAGAGTGCTTACTTTTGTGTCAGGTCACGTAGAAAAAAGTCTTTTGCTTCTAGAAACTTGGGCAACCATCTCTCACTTTTGATGGATCTAAAGTTTAGAGCAGAAAATACTTAAAGCATAACAATGTTATTTGGCTTATTATATTACTGTAGCACAGAATAGATATGGATACTATCACATACTGGTATAAAATAATAATAAAAAAAAAAACCAAACAAATAAAAAAACCCCCCAAAAAAACAAAAACCCAAAAGTCTTTGCCCTTAAGAGCTTGCAACCTCTTCATAAGGTAAGTGACAGCAGGTGGATGCAGACAGAATTGTTTAGTGTGCCAGGCAGTGGTATTGACACAGTAGTGTCTGTTTTAAAACTTTTCACAGAGAAAAGCTCAGAGGGAATTTCAGATCCTTGGGAAAGCAGGGGTTCTGTTTCACTGTTCCTTCATTTTTATTTTTTTTTTCCATGTTGCCATGCTACTGAAAAAAAAAAAAAAAATTGAGAATATAATGAGGTACTGAATGGGATTTCCATCACACGCATTCCAAATTAATTGGCTTCTGAATTATTCTTGTTTTCTCTTGGTCAATTTGAATTAAGATGATGTCTCTTGCCATAACGAAACATGCCTCTCGTGTCCGTCTACTTTTCATATTTACATCCTATTTCACTGATAAGCAAGTAGTTCCACAGACTTAATAGGGCACTAATAGCTGCATGAGGCTATCTGTAGCAGGCAATATCTTGAGAAACAGATTTGCAGTATCTTTCAATTTATACAGGTTATTCTGATCCACTTTATTTTGAAGGATGATTCCAGTGTTACCTTCAGTCTTTGAAGTTGTCATCTAATATAGGGTTAATGTACTACGAATCATTACTGGAAAGTTTTTATAAAGGTTATCTTCCAAATTAGCTTTTAGAGAAGAAATTTCAAAATTCCATCTCCAAAAAGTAAAAATTTCTTATCTTTTAGCTATTATACTGATACTGCTATTGATTGCTTATGAATCATTCATATGTGCAAGTTTCATACATGCTAGTAACCTTGAAAAATAGTCCAAACTGCTAAACTTTAAAACCCTTGTAGAAGGCTTTCGAATATTAAGTAACTATTTATTTAACTTGGTGAAAAATGAAAGCCATTTTTCCACTTCAGTTTCATTTGATGGTTGAAGTATGGATGCAAATCTGTTCATTACTTCCTTGATTTCAGAAGGGATGTCACTGGTAACTCCAGATGTGAAGGAATCTAATTTTAGGTCCTTAGGTCCTCATATTCAAGTAATATGGGTATAGGAGAAGTAGTTCTCAGAATAAACTTATCTTAGCTGTGATGGATTTTCCTAGTAGGATGCTTCTTGGAAATTTCCTGGTAGCTTGTGTGGCTGCAAGCAGTGTTTGTGTAAGAGAGAGCAGCAGTGATGCAGTTATTCCAAAGGACCTGTCCCATTTTTTTACCTTTTAATGCACTAATGTAATAAACTGTACTGTTACATTGTGTACTAAAAACAATGTATTTTATCACTGGAAGTGTTGATTTTTTTTTTTTTTTTTCTAATCTTAATTTATAATGTTAGAAGATTAAACTCTAACGAACAAAGTGATTTAATGGTGATATAACGTTATTCATCTTTATATGTCTGTAATTATTCACCCTTCAGCAGGCTGTAATATGTTTGGCAATAACAAGCTGTCAGATCTTTCGCTGAGGGGTGGATTTATGTTGTCGATTATAAATACTAATCATTCCAAATGGACAAATAAAACAATTAAAACCCCTTTATTCGTGCAGAATGCTTCTGTGAAAGGGTCTTGGTTTTCTTCAGTAGGAAAGCTGATGTTTTTTTCCATTGTGATTCCTGATAAATATGCTTGGCATTAGCTTAATTGGGTTGGAAGAATTCTTCTGACACTGAATAGCCAAACAGTGCTCATTAATAAATATCTAAAAATCTATATGCATTAGGACTTGTGCTGTTGATAAAATGATTTTTTTTTTTATAGCGCTTGATATATATTTTGCCTCTTTCTGTTGTGTGGGGTTTTTTCTTTTTTTTCTTTTTTTTTTTTTTACATTTAGTTAAAGGAATTAAATTGGAGGGCCAGTCACGCAAAACTGCTGAGTACTAAGGTCTTGTGAGATTTAGCTGAAAGTCTGTTTCAAGGTAGGGAAACAGTGCTGTATGGATGTACTTTTGAAGTTTAAATGAGGCTTCTTTGAATATCATTTTGAATCTAGCTTCAAACATCTTTTTTCTTTTTTTTTTTTTTTTTTTGTTGTTGTTGTGTTTGTTGTTTGTTTGTTTTTTTTTCTCCCCCAAACTTAAGGGTTCAACTTTAAAAAGATGGGAGAAATTCCATAGAGATAGTCATGTTTTCCAGGCCTTCATGCCAGTAGATACAAATTACCCTGGAAATACTGTCTTCCAGTAGCCAGGTATGTGCTACCACCTACACAAACACTGCATCAAAATCAATTCTGTCCTTTTTCTGCCACCATATCTTTGAGGTTAGACACAGTGAGCAGTTCTTGGGATTTTCAAATTCCTGCAGGACACCAGGACTCCTTTGCTATAAAATTACAGGAGATTCTGTTGCTTTAGGCTACTGAAGATAGTTCCTTTTGCAGCCGCCTCCTGGTTTCACTGTATCAAAAATAAATTTCTAGTTCAGGATTTGATTTGGAGTGGTAGTGGTTTGATCTTTCCTTATTGAATCAGTTTTATTCATGGTAGCAGCAGGTTGGTTGTTTTCACTTAACATTTTTTCATTGTCTTACCCGATGTTTCTATTCAGACTTCATTTTATAGAGGGTTGTGCATATAATGGAAATAGCCACCATAATTATTGCTGTCTCTGATGATTTCAGCAGCATGGCTAAAGAGGGACATTGCTTGGAGATCTTATTATCCTCGCGTTGATATTTTGGATTTTTGTTGCTGTGGGGTTTTTCATTTGTGTGGGGTTTTTTTTTTGTGTGTGTTTTTTTTTTTTTTTTTTAACCCCCTTGTAAGTACTACATTCTTCCAAGTCCAGAACATACTGGAAGGGAGGAAGGAGGTTGTAAAAAACCCCCAATTTTAAAAGACTTGCTAGGCTTGTAGCAGAATCATCAGGTAGCTATTTTAAGGTTTTGAGCATATCATACTTTGATACTTGATGAAAAGAAATATGCCAATTAATGTCAGGGTTTGCTGAAACAGAGAAATAAAATGCAAATTATTATCCATTTTCTTAACACAGATATGTTAGGTAAAGGTTAAATGCTTTTTGTGTGTGGCTGGAACCTTAGCAATCATCCTGCACACACTGGTAATGCATGAAAAGTTAACGTGAGCAGGTCCCTCTTGCCACTAGTTTCGCTACTTCCATTTATGCTCAAGTGTGACTAGAACAATAACGGCGGTGTTGCTAGAACTTGTGTTTTAAAAAACCCCAAAATGCCTACTAGCAACTAAGCAGAGGAAAATGTGTGTTGCAGCAGTGTTGCCAAGCTTTCACTGTGAGCTAAGATACTTGTGTGGTTTCCTTTGTGGCTAAGACAAACTACTGTGAAGCAGTGTTTTTCCCCTCCAGGTATTATATTTGGATAAGGTTAGAAACAGATATAAAACCCAAACATCAGTTTTGTCAGGCGGCTTCTAATAACTTTGCAACTAGTGTGTTAAACTTGTCCTTTACTTTTGTATACCTCAGGCTAAGTCTAGACTTATCTCTGGAAAGTGGAGATGAAAGTAACCTAAAAGTACTTGTTAGTGTCTTGTCTGTTTTTTAAATGTCTTTTCTGTTGGTATCAAGTGTACCTGACTGAGAGTTAAAGCTTCACTTAGAGCAGGAAAACAGTAATTTTGGTTTTACTGTGCTCATGGATGCATTTCAGAACACAGAACTGTAGTAGAGGGTGGCTCAGTACAGTACTAACTTGAGGATTTGCAAGGGAAAACAGTACTCTAGGCTAATGTTGCACAGCAGTGGTCTGGGACCCTGTGATGATCTAAGAGAAGATAACATCAAAATTACTATTAAAAAATACCAACCAACCAACCAAAAAAAAAACCAAACAAACACAACAACAACAAAACAACTCCAAAACAAATGCTGCACATGTATACGCAAATAGGGGAAAAGCAAAAAACAGTCCAGGTTTAGCTTGACTTCCTTTGTTCAGTTCCGTCTGGGAAATGCAGTCATCTTCCTTGCTGTTTTCCATGAAAAATAATTTAATTAAAATGCCTGTAGAGAATACAAGACTTCATTGTTGCTAAAAAGCAAATGTTTAGCTAATTATAGGCACTGCCATTTTCCAAGAACACTAGGATTAAAAAAGGTTAGAAAACATGACACTGTGGCTGGAAGGCATACCTGTGATGTGTGAATCAGTCCTGCTCCTGGTTGCAGGAGGCTGATTCTCTGCTATCATAACCCCAGATCCGTAAGAAAAGGGAAAATGTTTCTTTGTACCAGCCTCCTTCCAAGGTTTTAGGAAGCTTCATGTATGTCAGTCAATCTGAGATCGCACAGGAGCGGCTCTGTAAGCCTCTTAGTTTAATCACACAGTGTTAACTGAGTCATTTGAAAGAACAAATGGCAATGACAAACAGCAAATCTTATTAAGGATGTCTATATTCCATTCTGATGTGATTGCTCTTGTAGTGGGAGCAACAAATGGTAGTGTTTGCTGGTGAGAGATCAGACAGGTTTTGTGCTTAGCCCAGGTGCGTGCTAATGCCTTGGTGCAGAGATCTGTAAAGCTGCATTGGGATGCACAGTGTCCTTGGCATAAGCTGCCTATTTCTTACACAGTCTAAGATTGCTGTTCAATGGTTCAACTTCATTTTTTTTTTTCTTGCTGCTCAGCTGTTACTTTATCCTAAAAAAAAAAAAAAAAAAAAAAGGTTTTGCCAGTGTTATAGGAAACTTGATCAATGCAGCAGGACAAGTCTGTACCGGAAGAAGGAGGCTGAGAACACCCTGTTGATCATTCATCCCGTCTCCTTGCCAAGTAAGCATTTTTTCCTGTTGTACATTTTTAGGGCCTGCCTTAGTTGCGTGCTGAGACAAAATGGTGGGAGAGCTTCCACTTCTCTTTTGTAGGTGGCTCTTCTGCTGTTGATTTTAAAACAAACAGCACCATTACTTTTGTTTATGATCTGTGTAAGGGGTAGAGGGAGATTGTTCAGCTTTTCTTCCCAATTAATGATAAAAGCGAGGTTGATATTGCAGAATGTCTAATATTTATTGTGCTCTAATATTTACTTGTGGGGTGGCTTGAGTCCTTCATGAAACACCCGAGGTTCTACCTTGAGAGACAAAATGCTTTGATTAGATAAATGCTTTCATATAGATACATCAACTATGAAAACTCATTTCCCAGGCCAATGGGAGTTTCTGTTATGGTGTTACTGAATCCATGTGGGAGACTCATTTCAAATGCTGTAATGAGAAAGATGTAAATAATCTTTTCTTGATGATGGTTCTAGATATCTACAACAAAAAAATAGCACCCTCCCCAAATATATATTCTTTACATCCCTTGGTTTCATTCTTCTTTCCTGTTTGCACTTTTTAAAGGGTGAAAACTCACAGGCATCTGTTGCCCTTCCCACTCAAATACTTAGCCAGGTAAAAATGCAATAATCTTGATTTTCTGTACAATTCAATCTTTTTAGCTCTGTATTATAGCTAATTAATTTATTTTCTTGTGCTGAATCTGAATATTGTCACTTCACTGGATTTTGCCACATAATCTGCAGTTAATTGAATAAGCTTTCTCTGGAAGCTGATTTTTGTAACAAATAGAATTCATATGAATCAGGTTCTTCAAGGAGACGTCAGCAGGACCCTGTAGGCAACTCAACTTTCTTCTGGTGTTTTAGCTGCCAAGCCACAAGTTATCTTACCTGTGTTATTTCTTCCCTGCCTTTATCATCCCACACACTCCCCAGCGCAGTATAGGGTGGCTACCAGAGTAGCATCCTCAATGATGGTATTATGGATTAAAGGTGAGTGTTTTTCTTGTGTGTTACATGGTGAATTGAGAAGGGTAGGTGCCAACCTTCTCTTCCCGCTTTGTAGAACTCAGCCTCCTAGAAGTCAGGCAGGTTTTTGATCACTTTTCTTATACAATCAGGCATTGGAGTTTTAGTAGCCCAAAGGATTTTCTTTCTTTCCTTTTCGACCATGTTTCTATTTATTATTTCTCCTTTTACCAGGAAAATGTTCGCATCTGACTCTCCCTCTTCAAGAAGCCTGATGCAGAAAGGGTGCTGGCTTGCTTTTATTACAGCAAAACCTGATTACAGCAATTCTGTGTTTAGCAACCTCCCTGATGAGCACATGCTGCATCCCCAGATGCCTTTGAAGACTTCTTCTGGGGATAGTTATCCATAGTGGGTCATCTCAAAAGGCAGTTTCTCTGAAAAAGTTGCTAGCTTCGACTAAAGTAATGTGCTGATAACAAGTGTGGTGATGATTATTTTCTGCCCTGTGAGGTTTTAATCTTGCATTGTCTAACTGAAAAGTCTTTTTCTCCCTGTGCCTGCTTGTTTCAAAAGACTGTGGACCGCATCCCACTTCTTTAATCCTTCAAGGAGCTCAGTACCATGTAAATATTACCAGTGCCCTCTACTGCAGATAAAAGAGAGAGTGTGTTACATGCTGTACATTTCTGATGATCTGGAGATTCTCTATTTAGGTTTGTCACTGCTGGGGACAGTGGTCTTAAAGCAGAATATAATGAATTTATCTATGAAGCTGTATTGACTTTTTGAAATATACTG